AGCTTTTGGTAGTGTTTTTGGTGCTCTAGCATCTTCTTCCTTTGGTGTCTTCTCCCGTAGGTGGATCCTTCGGCATCACGCTTAGAGCCTCTCGCAGTAGTGCCCACCCTGGAGTTAGGGTTTAGCCGGCCGCAGTGAAGCGAAGCAGTGCAACTCGCGTCTTGCCCCCCTGCACGGTTAGGGCCTCCCTCCGTAGTGATGCTCCTCACCCCGCGTAGTTAGACAGCGGTGCGCGGTTAAGAGTCCGGCCACTGCAGTGGCCCAACGTAGTGGTTTTAGTCGTGGTCGAAGATTGAACGTGATTGGCGAGTCAACCGATATCATGAGGGCAATGCCATCAACGGTCGATCGACGGTGACTGTGACGGTGATGGTGGAAATCAACAGTGACGATCATGAACAACGATGAAATAATATTCTATCATAAATATTTCTTAGAAATATTTTTTCATCACAATATAGGCAAATTTGAGTATCTTTGAAAAGCTCTCGACGCAAATAGTGCATTTGAATATTTCTCAAGATGTGAACTATAACTCAAAAAGAGTACATTGACTCAGAAGTTTCCATTGTCTCTCTTTTTCGACGTGTAGAGTTGAGAGGACAACATTGATAACGAGTGACTGTGGTTGTGGTTTACGGACGTTAGTCGCATGCAATGTGGTTGCATGCAACATTGATCAAAAGAATGATCGCGGATGACGGACGATAATCAAGAGCTAAGTGGTTGCGGACGACATTGATTGCGGGCAATGATGATGATCAATCGCAAGCAACGATTAGTCGCGCACAACAGTCAGTTGTCAACGATAGTCACGGATGACACGTCGTGGTCTGACAGGGCAGTAACTCCTTCGCTCTAATCTCATCCAAATTCTACTCTCATTTGGATTTCAAAGTCATGGATTGTTGAAGTGAGAAGCTACTTACAGGTTCCGTTCTGCGAATATTTGAGCATGCGGATTTGAATATCATGAACATACAAAAAGTTTTATTATTGAACGCAGAGAATAGTGAGCTAGATTCAAAAGAAATGGGTATAAGAATGTGGTGAAAAATGTTATTCAAGACTTTTTTTGCAAGAATGCACAAGTATCACCTTGGTTAGATTTGCCCACAGCATTGAAGCAGGAAGATGCGGGAACATCACACGAAGCTGAAACATCAACTTGTAGTATTTGCATGGATGTTTATCTCGTTCACAGCGGAGATAGATCAATTACAAAACTCGTTTGAGAACATTGATTTCATTTTGATTGTCTTGTTTCAACTTTTATGACCAAGGGAGAAATGCAATGTTCCAATTGTCGGCATGCAGAGAAGGGACATGGGTTTGGTGCCAACAAATAGTGGTCGGGATGACAATCCACATGTCAGAGATTATGAATCTATGAGGATTGGATTTTGTGTTTTGGCAAACATAAGTTATAGGCTTTGAAATTTGTAACATTTTTTGTTTGAGATGTTTCTTTCAATAATGTCTAGATCATTGAAAGGAGTAGAGAGTTATCCAGCTCTTTTTCATGACAAGAAGAAATCTTTGCTCATGGATATGATTGTGGGGGAGTTTGATTATCATGCGAGTTATGATCAAGAAGGTAGAGCACAAGTAGTTATGGAGATCTAAGCACATGATTGAGATTCCTTAACACAATTTAATGAAGAGATGGTTGAATTATCTTTGTATGTTATTATTCTATCAAGTTATGGCTACGGCTTATTTCTAGTTATCTCTCATTTAAAGAGGAGATTTGTGTTATGTTTCTGTCTAAAACTTCCCGCGGAGTAATAATATAGGTTAGAGAGATGATTGAGATTCTTTAACATGAGTTAAGGAGTAGATTTTTGAGTTACCTCTATATGTTATTACTCTCTTTTGTTATGGAAGTTATCATATATATCAAAGAGGTGAATGAGACAAATTAAGAGAATATTGTTAAGTTATCTCTGTATATTATTAGTATATCATGTTATGGGAGTTATAATATAAGTTAGAAAGATTACTTAGATTCTTTAACATTAGTTAAGGTAACATTATTGAGTTACCGCTGTATATTGATACTCTATCTTGTTATGGCTACGAGTTAGTTCTAGTTAACTCTCGTTTAAAAAGTGATCGTGTGTTAGGTTTCCGTCTAGAACTTTCCGCTGAGTAATAATATAGGTTAGAAAGTTAACTGAGACTGCTTAACTTGCGTTAATGGGGAGATTGTTGAGGTTAACTCCGATTAAGGATTAACCTCATGTGTAGCTATTTATAGTTGAGTTTGGTCGCCTACGTTGGGTATATATACCTCGATGCTTTTGCAGCTACTAAAATATGTTTTCACCTAAAGTAAGAAACTCTTTCAATTATATTCTTCCGTGGATGTAGCCCTTGAGGGTGAACCACATTGTACATGTGTGTCTTGTGTTGTTGGTTTTCTAAGTGTGATCTCGAATTTTACCGTTAGAATGAGATGTAAAAGATGTCATCAAATTTCTATGATTAAGTATTGGATCACTTCGTGTTTTGATGATTAGCGTGAGAGACTATATTGCATTAGCTAAAGAGCATATACATGTTTTGTACAAACAATGTGCAGTGGAAAGTTGTGAGATGGATTTCTAAGATTTTACTGAGTGCTAAAATTATGATATTTAATTTGATGGTTTATGAAACAATGCTAGATTCTTACTATGATACATTCATGCTTGCTTACTTATAGTGACGTGTGTTTCAGAATATGAAAATTATGACTTCTTGTCTCCTTTTATCCATATTCAAATACAAGGAGGGTAATATTGTAGGAGAAAATAGAAAAATGCAGATATGTTAAACAACATCAAAGTAAAAGATTCAAAGTCACTAAAGTGCAAATCTAGAATTGTGGTGATCCAAGACCGTCAATGGTAAGTAAGATGGGTTGAGATCATTTATTACATATGGATGTAATCACAAGTGATTAACCTCGCAAGAGTTTAGACACAGTTGTGATTTGATGACATGATCTTAAGTCTAACCGTAGTGCATAAGTGCATTTTACCACAACGTTCGATGATTTCAAAGGGAATTTGCACGATACTTGTGTTCAGTACTTTTCTCAGCTCCAGCCCATAAGTTACCAAGGAGAGAAGAATGGATGGTAGAATGTGAGACAGAAATACGTATTCTCTCCGCGTAAAATCAAAGCAGGTAGCTATGAGAAGTAAATACATTCATTTGCAAGGGCAATCATTTTCATCGACAGAACATTGATCTTGAACCACGCGAAGGGCAAAATCCCATCAGTTTTCGTTGTGTTGAGACAATGATTTGCCTTCATGATCTTGTCAAGAGCTGGGCAGAACAACGTGCACAAGTCATGCGTAGGTGACTGGAGTGGCAGAGTTAATTCACGCTACTCTATAGGAGTTGCTAGTCACCCCCACCTTTCGGAATAAAGTTCTCACTGCTACTGACGTGAAACGAGGAGTTATAATTATCATTCAAGCTTGCAGATCTGCATGATTGCTGATCATTGTTGTCAACCCGTGATGTGGGCTTGCTCCACTTTGCCGTGCCGTAGATGCTCGAAGACAGAAGTGTGTTCGGATCGCAACAGAAGTTCCCTTGGCGACCTCAAGAGCAGATTCGGAGGCAGCTCCTCCCTACGGATGCGGTACAATACAGAGCAGATCCATACAGACCTTCGTTCTCACTGGGGCAAAATAGGATGTGGGAATTTGTCCCACTGCCATTGTCTAAGACGCGGAAGCCATCCGGGTGTCCTTTGTAGGGAAAAGTGGAAATCAGAAGCAGAGTTCCTTCTTAAGCAAAGACCTCGTCAGGCCCGAATTGCTATACTGTACAATGATCCGGGCTCTACGCATACGTGAAGTACACACGCGTCGTTTGGTCGCTTGCGGGGTAAGGTGGCTCCACTACTGAATGACGCGGCGAGGGCCAGAGGGACGAGATGGCAATGATGTCCGTTCAGGCTTTCGACCGTTGGGGAGGGGGCGGGCATATTCAAACCCATGATTTGGCGCCGAACTCAATCGGTCTAGAGTCTAGGCGTCATGAGAAGCAGCCGCGGCATTTCCGCAGCTCCTCGATTCCCATCGTGCCGAGGCTGCAGACCATTTGCCGCTGCCCGCGCGCCTACGCGGAGAGTCCGTGGGTCCGTGCTACCAACCCGGCGTACAAAGGTGGCAGGCAGACTGACGGACTGCAGGCTGAGCCTCCCAGAGTCCGGACCACAGGCCGAGCCCGACCGCACGTCCTACCTGCAGGAATAGTCAACTACTGCAGCGAGAGGCACGGTGCCGGCACAGCCATCGTCGAGCCTTGTCGCTGTGGGCCCTCCCCTTCCATCCCTTTACTTTTTTTTCTCCATCGCCTCCTCCACCTCCTCACGACTCGACGATAATCCACAGAAAAGCCGGACTTCATGAACTTGATGAGGTGACCGCATCCTTCCACAGATCTCATAGAGGCTAAGAAGAGGACCAATTTCGGACCATTGCCGCGACTAATAGCTTGAGGTGGGCTTGAGACAAGACAGACAGAGAATGAGGGAGAGAGAAGTGAATCCACCGGCAGATAGACCAAAGGGGGCCGTTGGGAGAGTATAGTTCGAATATCATGGCAATTAGACCTTGTTGCCAGGACACGCGTGGGCGCCGGAGCTAATCCCCACCCATATTTCTGGCAACCCGTCGATTCCATTTCATCTTGAGGTCTATACACATATATGTGCCACAATCTTGGCGTAGAATTCCAAATACTCCAGAAGCCCCCCAAAAAAGTATAACGATCAGTCAACAAGGAACATCTGCGTAAATCAACACCAAGAGCAACCCAACAAGGGCCTTTTTTCATGAAGATATTTTACATGACTACTGCTAAACATTGGACCCTGCCTTGCATGAGGAGAACATTTATGTCTGGAAGTAGACATCACAAAGGACCGAGGAGGCCTCGTCTACGCAGCTCCATCATAGCCCACAGACTGCTCTCCATTTTCTACTCTTCTCGTTTCTAGTAAACAATGCATCCTCTGCACTTGCTTGGGGCTTCACAGTGTTGCACAAATGGACGAGCCAGAAATTTTCGTGCTTTTTACATAAAAAGCCCTCACGTGTGCAGAAAAAACAAGCAGATCCTCATGGATACTTACACTAGTAAGCACTTTCTTTTAAGGTGAACTAAGCCGTACGAAATCCGATGCAGCCATGCCACTATCCATGGAAGTTGCTAGAAGACGATTTTTCTCGTGTTGAAGCTGAACTAAGTGCGTGCTCAAACTGCGCTCCTCTATCTGCTCACAACAACCGATCCAGGTTAGCATCATCGACATTTTGACGAACAGATTTCGTTTAAGCATGACGGCGAAGGAAATGAGCTTGAGAAAAATGAACAGCCCCAAAACACTCACCTCTAATGAAGCTGCCGTAGACAATAAATCGCCACAGTCAGCAAGCAGAGCCCTTTCTTGTGCAGCCGTTTCTGCGAGTTTTGCAACTAATCCATCCATGCTCTGAGCCTGAAACCAAGAAGGGAATCGTGATGTCACATTCAAGCATTGAAGGAAAATATGTTCAATACTAAAAGGTCGTCACAATGATTGCCCCGAGTCATACCTTGGGTAGCAAAGTTTTCACGGATAACTCAACGGCATTCATGACATCCACTGCAGAACCAAGCGCTTCCTTCACGGCCTGCACATCCGCCTGCAATTACAACCATACGAGGATGAGAGAAAGAAGGTAAATATACGTCAACTGCCACCGATCTGGACAAAGGTTTGGCATATTTCATGGATTTTGTTAGAAAAGTACCCTGGCACCTCCCGTAACAGGGACTCGAAGTATAGAGGCTTCTAAGGCTTCAATAACTCCAGAAAGAGCAGTTGAATGTTCCTGTTTCAAAGAAGACCAGTCCTGCAGAAGGGGAGCCTGCAGAAAGGACAATTGAGCAAATAATCAGATATACACATATTCGTGACACAAAGCAAAACCATCCACAACCTGCTTGCATCCCATGATATCTTGAAAGGAGTTAAAAGATTCAAAAGTGTCAGGCTTGGCTATAAACACTAGCTAGCAATGGACTTCCATGACTTGACCTTTCAAGCCTTGCGGATATCAAGGAGATTGTGATAAAACAAACCTTACTGACAAGGACGGGGAACACCTCTGTGTCATAAAGTATCTTCCAACCCCATCTTCAGGCATAGAGAGTAATCTCAAAATTCTGAAGGGATTTTGCGGAGTGTGAACCAGTTCTAAACCGGACGAGAACAAATCTGGATATTCCAGATTTGTTTTCAATTTCATGTTATGCAAAATTTTTTGCATATCTATGCTATACGCTGCGAAGCAAGCATTGTATCTAAGGTCACGACACCAAACGATTTTTGCCATGTTCAAAACTCATTGACTACTTGGCGCATTTTAATTGCCCGTAAACATGGACTGGAAACAAGTTTTAATAGTAAGATCTCTGACTGGACAGACCATGCTTGTCACTGAAGCCAGACACATACTAGAACCTGGACGGTCATGACTGCAGGGCAAAATAACTGCCATTTCAAACAGACCACTTCTAGGTCATGCGGGCTTGTCTAGATAGGCATTTCAAGCAGGGAACATATGAGCATCCCCTTGCTTTGACTGCACAACAATTACTAACCAAGGAAGCAAAATTTTTACAAACTTAGTAAGATATCTAATAGATTACCTGATTAGATAGAATGGTGCTGAGTTTGTAGAAATGCTTTGCTTGCTGTAGTTTTATCCGTTGCATCGCAACAGAGGCCCGAAGCTCGGACGTTCTAAGCCAAACGCTGTACAATGACTTCTGCACAAGAGCAATGTAAGAGCAATATTCATGAGAACAAAGTAACATAAAGATTAGTTGCCAGTATAGTTCAATTTCAGAAACAGGTATATAAATGACTGACAAGCTCGGGAGAGAAGAAAGTACAAGCAGCAAAAGGCACGGACAAATATACAGTACGGAAACTTGATGGTCGTGGGACTGGTCATGTGCTACCTTTTCGTATTACAAAAATTAAACTTTTCTGAGTTATGAGGTGTATTTCACATGTTTCACCTCTAGCAAGACTGAGTGCTACGAGGCACTCCACGAAACACGCAAGGGAAATGACCAAGGCACGAAGAAACCCACGAAGATCGATTTTGAAAGAATTTGACCACTCCTTGCACTAGGAAATTCCATTCGGGTAAAAATCCCGGCAAGAATGATCGCGGTACCTTCGATTGATGCGATAAGAAGCAAAACCCAGACGATGCCACAAAGCAGCTATATAACACGAACAGAAAAGTCAGGTACTAAAGTATGCGACAACATACCTCTGCAGCAGCTTTTTGTGAACTCAAAGCCGCATCCGCCCGGGCATTTATGAATCTCCACTGAAGGAATCGGTTGTGAAGAATTCGGAGGAAGAGAGCCTCCTCTTGCTGGCTCATTGCTTTCTTCCCTCGCAGCCGCAAATCTGTCCCTGAGATAATAGAACTAGAAATAGAACTGGTTCGGCTGGCAACCGAACCATTTGCTGTCGGTGGCCTTGATCTCGTAGGGCTAGGCAAGCCTCGCAAAGGTGATGATCCACCTCTTCCACCACGAGCAGACGGAGAAACAGGTGGTTGAGGAGATGAAGAAATGGGCGTTATGGCTCTACCGGAGGAGAGAGACCATGCCGAGTTCGACGAGCTATTTGCAATAGGAAATCCTAAGGTCGGAACTTTACGCCTTCCAGCCTTCAGGGCCGCGGCGAGATCTTGCTCAGACATCGAAGAACGCATTCGATCGCCCTCGGACAACCGTCGGGATCTTGCTTCGGCAGCTTGCCAAACGCGAGATGGCACGGTTGTGCCCCTGGTCGACGACGATGTCCTGGACCCCGTTGTGCCGGATCCTCCTGATGAGACACTTTCGGAATCCGAAGCATTTTCACCCAAAGTAGACTGCGTGTCTGAACCAGCAAGCACCGTTTCCTGCGAGGAATGCCGGACATGACCCGCGGTGTCCCCCAAGACTCCATTTTCAGCTCCCAAGTTCGAGAACTCCTGCGCTGCACTTTTGGCCACGGGAACGCGGACTACAACGGGAGCGGGAGCGGGAGCGGGTGGAGGTGGTGGAGGCGGAGGAGGAGGAGGAGGAGGAGGAGGAGAAGGAGCATGACCATGAGCGGGGACGGGAGCAGGCGAAACTCGAGGCCTGCCGGTCCGTTCAGGAGTATTGTTCCGAGAATTCGGTCTCGAGGCAGAGCCGGCAGGCCCTTCGTTGATCGAGCGAGAGAAACTCCGGGCCGAATTTATCAACGACGAGGTCGACGGCCGCACGGACCGTGAGGCGCTACTCGTGCCGGGGCGACCTTGCGACAGGATCGCGTTCGATCGATTGCTCAAAGACCGCTCGCGCTCGCCGCTCAGATCCATGCTCCGTGTCATGGCGGCCGCACCTCCGAACACCTTGCCATTGCTGCTGCCGGGCCACCGCTGCAGGTCGGGCTTCGAGCGCATATGTTCAATTGGGCGTGAATTTTCCGACTGATCCGTGCTCTGCCGCCGCATGGGCGACCCCTTGCGAGGAGGAGGCCCGCCGGGGCTCGAATCCGCGCCTCGGTGCACGCCATTGGCGGCCGGCTTCAAGGTGTGGTCGGGCGTCTTGGCCTCGTCGCCGTGCTCGCCCGACCGCATTTCGACGTTGCCATGCGGGCCTTCGGGAATCTTGGACGGATGGCTCGACGGCCAGAGGCCCTCGGGGCGCGCGGCCGCGCGCGGCTTCACGCCCGGCCACACGCCCTCCGAGGGACTGGGCGCCGAGGCCACCACGGCCTTGGGCTCGGGGGGCGTCACGGGCGCAATCGAGGGCCACGGCCGGCGCCGCTCGGCCGACAGCGCCCGTTTGGGCAGCGGCGGATCGCCCGACATCGACCTCCCGAGGTTGGGCGACGGGTGGCGCCGCGCAGCGGCCGCGGCTTGAGCCGCAGCGGTGGCGGCCGCGGCCGCTGCCGTGGACGCGGTGGTGGCCGCTTTGTATCGCGAGGTGATCTCGCGATTCTTGGCCTTGCGCACGGTGCCATTGCCATTGCCATTGCTGGCCGAGCTCACTCCCTTCTCCGGCTGTTCTTGCGGCTCGTGGCGCAGCGTCGCTGCAGGCGTCGACGACGAGGAGTCAGCGGCAACCATGTTCACCTGCGCCGACCCTTGCCCTCGCGTCTTCTTCTAATCTCGTCTTCTTCTACACTAGTGCTGGACCTGTGCAGCTGCGGGTCGACAAGCTTTTCCTTCGAATTGCTCCTCTCGTCGCCTCCCATTGCACTACCCTCGGCCCCCTGCCCAATTTACATCCTCGCTGCGGCTAATCTGCTCCCGCCCTCGACATTGCATCTGCTGCCTCCATTGCCCGCTTCGCCGGCGCTCGCTACCCGTCTACGACTGCGCTCGCGCTCCCTCCCGCAGGTTCCATGACGGTGGATTCACAAAACTGTCAAGACGACGGGGCACATCATCCAGAGCTGCTACCACTACGGCTATTACTGCTACTACTACTACTTCTTCTGCTAAATGCACTGCCCAGGCCCCGAGATCTGAAGACCTACCGCGAGTGCTTATGCCCACGCATTATATACAACTCTTCCACCAGAGGACCAGGCACCAAATTGCATTGTTCTTTGCGCTTCCACCCGTCCACGATGGTTCCGACCCGGCAGCGGCATTCTGTCAATCCTATCGGTCTCGGGAGACTGAAAAACACAGGTCAAGCCGCGACGAAGCTGAACTCATCCTCTCGCTGATACTAGCACCCCGCTTCAACCGAGCATCCTGAACATGAGCGCGTTCATCCGGCCAGTCACTCGGTCGGCCAGGTGAAGCTTCCAGCGTCACATGAATATAGATCTGCGCCGCATGAAAATGACTAGTGCGAAGCTCCGTCCCTACAATCCTTCTCGTCCTGCTGCCATCCTCCAGGACCAGTACCTCTACCACACCCGACTATCCACTGCTCCATCCTGCTAGTCGTGACATCAACAGATCTCCGCTCTGCTCAATCACTACTCAAAAACCAACGCGAATCCGGAGTCGATAGGCCGGACGGTCGGTCGATCATAAACTACCGTAGAATAGAAGACTAGAAACACAAAGTACGTAAGTATTGTCGTCGAGTCGATGATGATGATGATATTGTTGATGGAGAAAGTGGTCCTCCTTCCCTTGTTTTCCAGTCACTTCCCCTCTCTTCCCGCGGCTGCTACCGCTCCCTCTGCTCCCCGAGATAGAGCTATCTATATCTAGCTTCTAGCTAGCTAGCTAGCTACGTCGTTTATTTGCATTGAGTGATTGATTGAACGATTGATTGCTTGATTCTTCATTCCTGTAGTCGTCCAAGCAGCAGCATGCACGAAAGGTTAGAGCTGGGCGCTGCAACGCAACGCAATGCAGTGGCAGTAACGCAAAGCCAAATGTACCACGCACTCACTACACACCTCTTCCCTGGAGACCAAACATGAAAGAGAAGAGCAGAGCAGAGCTGGTCACTCAGAACTCTCGCTCAGGTCAGGAAGGTCGGTCGGTCGGTCGGTCGGTCGGTCAGCAGCAGAGGAGCCAGCCAGCGAGCCAGCCCAGCCCAGCCCAGCCCAACCCAGCACACAGCGGAGCACAATAGCGATTCGGAGGAAAGAGAAAGAGGAGCTCGCGCTGGCCCAAGAAGAAGAAGCTTTGCTTGAACAAGGAAGGCGCTGCGGATTACGCAGAGCAGGGCAAGCAAGAGGGGAAGATGAGCATGAAGAAAGCCCGAGAGTGGGGCCTGGACTCTTGACACCCTTGCTGCCCTCCCCTGCCCTCCCCTCCCTCCCTCCCTCCTTCCACCCTTCCGTTTCTCTCACTCTCTCCGGATAGGACCCCCTCGCTCGCTCGCTCGCTCGCCTGTCACTTTCTGCTGCTCAGAGCTGCAGCTGCTGCTCGTCCTCGTCCCCGCGAGAGGAGCGAGATTAGCGCGTGGGCGTGCGTGCGCGCATGTTAACCCCCTCGTCGCTCTCTCTCGCCAACGTCTCTCTGCGGGTCAGTCGGCTTGCTAACTCCAGCCCTGAGCTTTCCCGTTCGAGTTTAAACCCCCGGTGGACACCAGGCGGCTTCTTCTCTGTAAAGGTAACCGGCTACCGACAACGGAAGGAAGGAAGGACCGGAGGGACACTTGGAAGCCGCAGGACTCGTAAACCCCGCAGTTCGAACATCTGGTTTGTCGTGTTCCCTACCTCCTGCCACGTCGACACCAACAACAACTTGCGGACAAGGACCAAGACATGCCAACACCCTCTTCCCCTCTTTTCTCTCTCCTTTTCTTTCTCCCTCTTTTAGCTTTTCTCTTTCCCTCATGCCTGCCCTGCCCTGCCCTGCCCGGCCCGGCCCTTGTTGGAGGAAGTCTCTCGCGGCCAGCCCCCCAAGGAGCTAACCACTCTGTCACTTGGATCTAGCTCCTAATCTACGGGAAGAGGCGACGACGTTGAACGTACGAGTACTACGGTTGGGCCAGTGACTGTGGCCAACAATGTCGAGGCTCGAGGTCCGAGTCCGTCCAACCCCAACCACTGTAACGAACGTATCGGGAGGAGGGGGCCGGAGGGCTGCTTTCTTTCTTCCATTAGTTCGATAAAAAAAAGGCCCGGAGCAGAGCAATGATTTTCTGATGGCCATGAGTGCAGTACAACGGCTGCTGTTTTCTACGAGTTTTTCCCACCGTGCTATTTCGGGTGCTTTTGAGCTCAAATCTGGCCATTCAATATCAGATACTGTACTGTAACTAACTTTCCCCTAAACTATACACCTAAAACTTGGTTGGAAGAAAAAGTTAAGCATGGACGCTTTATTCATGATTGGCCTTCCTTGGACAAAACTCTGAAGAAGATATTTCAATCTAGGATTTCCATCTGCGTATTTAATTCTCTCCACGCTTCAGAGGATTCATTGTCCTGAGAATGTTCATCAGCTGATGTGTCCCTTAGCTTTCTCTTGAGTGTATCTTCACTGAGTTGCAATTATCACAAATTTGCAACGTTGTGACAAGGGCAGTGATCTGAATACCAATCTATGGTTTCTTTTCGGATAGAGATGAGTTTTCAAAATAAGTTTTCTCCTTTTATTCCAAATTGTAACTAGTGACTAAAATAAAACTTCTCAGGCAGTGCGTCTGCTTCCATATTAGACAATTTAGTTATTTTGAGAACTTCAGTGTTGTATATCATGTGTACACCGAACACCGTGTTGAGTACACAGTGGATAGATTATTAAAATAAAATAAAAACTCCATTGTTACCCAACTTTGAACCATGTGTTTGCTTTACATGTACTTCATCCTTAAACAATGTAAGGCGAGATGAACAAATTTGCATATTGGCAATATTATATACACAAGTTGACTGCCATGTATGAAGTACTAAAGATAGAGTTGTTACACGTGACCCATTTTCATTTGAGGATGTTTTCTCCCTCACATTAATGAAAGTGAAAATTAAAATTTTAGAATTAGACTTAAGTAAAATACATAAAAAAAATTCTGCAAAATCTGCATTCAAATCTTATCTCAAACTACGACAGTAATTTGTTGATAATCCTCACTTTGAAACGAAAAATTTTCATTCGTCAGATTATTAAAGAAATTTTTACATTACTTGATAATTTAGTATGAGATGATTGATTAGAATAAATAAGATAGAAATTAAATTTTGAATTTTCAATACATGATCATTTCTAAATTTGAAATCCTTTTTTTCCCAATCAATATCAAATTTTATAAAAAAAATTCTCAATCTAGATTTGAAAGCTTTTCAGTGATATTGAAGCATGATGAAAATTTATGTTGAGATTCATAATATTCCTTGAATGCATGTATATCCTAAAAGAATAACCAGTACACTGAAAGCTTGATGAAGATTTAGAGTGACACATAACTGACTTTTTTATTTATAGCCTTATATTCCCGAAAAAAAATTAAAAACATGAATATAGAAGGTAATTTTCTGACTTGTAATGTACTTTGATAAACATAATGATAAAAAAACAACAGATGTAACAGAGTACAATTTTTGTTCAAAAAAATGACACATTATTACATTATCTTATCCTAATTCAATAGAATATGTTTGCATGTTGTTGAAGTTACCTACTATGTAAAAAATTACCAGTATAATTACTTTTCTCTTCTTATCAAGTTTTCTTTGATTCAGTATTGGGCTGATTATTGAAACTATCATTCTGCATGAGATATAGTAAATGGACCGAAAAGATCATCTTTGGAGAGTATTTGTAATACATGTGTATTTCTGAAGATAATAAGTTATATTAACTAACAGTTTCAGTGGACGAATTCGTATTTCAAATGATTGAAAACGGTTGCTTTGTAGTCTAACTTCTTTTATTATACATCCCATCTACTGTTCTATAGTAAAGGTAATGTATTTCCAACTCTGTACCTCATAAGAACCTATTAAAGACATGAAAACGAATAGTTCTAGAGGACTGTTCCAGAAACAGAGCCCAACGACGTCATGTTATAAAAAAGATTCAAGCATAAATTTGGTTACAAATTATATTTCTTATTACAGTCCTAGTAGTTTTAACTACAGGTGGCTAAAGCTCAAATTATTTGCGCTACCCTTTTTTCCTACACCTTCCAAAACGTTCTCAGACATGGCTCACTGAATTGTTGTAGGTGTCAAATAAGTGCCAGCACACGTAACCAATCACAACATGACTAAGTCGTGGAGATCGCACTTTCGTACGAGACAGCTTTTGGTAAGAGTGCAATGGTATCTGGATTCATTCCTACGTAAAGAGTTCCTCCATGTATCCACTGTGAAACCGTTTGCACTTTATTTACGGAATCGTGTAAGGAAAACGGAGTTTGGTATCATGGGATTAGGTAGAAGTTTGCTCTTCTTCATGTTATTCAGAAGGTTTCCCGGATTTCCATTCGTTTCTTCGCATTTGTCTCCCTTGTTCTATTAACCGTGTTCCTTCGGTTCCGAGACTCTTAACTGTCAGGCCATTCAAATAAGCGCAGTTGCATAAAGTCCACGAGAATCAAACTTTTGACTAAGATGAGCACGGACGGTCCAATGTGGAAGACCCGAACGCAAAACTTTGGTGTTGTGGTTGTACACACATTTCTTGACAGCTATGGACCATCACATGGCACGTGGAAGCATGCCCGGCCCTCCCAAATGGTGTATAGAAGAAGGGGACGAATTAAGTATGTTCCGAACACAACCAAAAAAAAACATTGTCCGGCCCCGTTGCGCGAAAATATGAAAAAGGCTCGGCACTATCAGACACGGCTTCTAATTATGACGTTGAAGTAGAGGAATGCATGCACATGAAGTTTAGGGTTTGGACCTTTCCAACTCCATCTTACTTCTTTCCTAATATACAGCCAAAACTTACGGTTCTCGATTTCGGCAAGAAGTTGAAACTGCCAACTTTGACGGACTACGTCATTTTTTACCGATCGTCCGATTTGCCCTACCGTCAGGGTGACGGACAAGCAAATCCCAACTTTTGTAAAGAATTCCTCACTACAGTCAGTGCCTCGGGCATTCAGGGCAAGGCTATACTGCAGAATTAAAGAGCTGATGAACAAACACTTTTAAGACAACGGGTGATACCTTCAGCGATGGAAACAAACTACGAAAATCTTACGGTGGATAAAAGAACAGTCCCTAGTCGTTTGCAATGTTGCGGTGGGGACAGGCAAACATCGTCTACACCAACATGCAATTTGAAAATCGGATTGACGCAGAGCACTAAGGACAGACTGCGAGTCAAGTGGAACGTATGCAGCAGTGGAGTTTTGGTTCGAGTAGGTACATGATGATAGATTCGTAGGAGAGGGAGGCAGGGAGGCGAGATACCGATAGATACAATGCGCACAACTTGATATTATACGGTAAAGAGGGTTGAGAATATCACAAAGTTGTTGCCTGTCCTCAGTGATCAGAGTACGACAACCCGCTTGTTACCGTTAGTATACACAAAATTTGAATTAATGACAGACGGTGTTGTCTGGTGCCGATCACGATAACGATCCGACCGAATGTTTCGGGAGCCAGAGACGGGACTGACGGACCGACGGCGTCGCATACTGGCAATAGGACTTTGGAAAGCACCCCCAAGCCCACGCTTTCCTTCGATTTCTGCCCTGTCGTCGGGCACCGAAGGAGAGAAGAAGAAGCTGCTTCAAAACAAAAATTAGGACCCAAAAAATCTTAATCTTACAGAAGACATTCTTATTGCTTCCCTTCCAAGAGAGGCGGACTGTGGGCCTGGTCGCAGAGCAGGGCAGGGCCCAGCTCGTGCTCGTTTCCTGAAATCGAAACAAAGAATCACCTACACGATCCTAGCCTTACCTTGGGCTTCGTGATGGCTTGCTTTGACAGCCTCGTGTCTCGATTATTGGTACGTTTTCGGAGACTTGAGGCGGTTTCAGTGTACTGGCTGGTCTGCAACAACCACACCTTAACAGAATCCCGTCGTTCGGCACACGCCAACAAAGCACGAGTTTCTTTTAGAAGGTTCGGTGGCCACGATGATTCCCCGCACAACAGAGCAATATACGAAACCTTGCAAGGAAAACGGACATGAAATCTTTGGCACTTGGAGGCAGCACGCACGCCTGAAAGAGGATCCAATATGACATTTCTTTGTGCATTCAAAATGATTACAATGCAGCTCATAAGCTAATCACTTGTAGACAAGAAGATAAGCCAGCTCCATGGCTGGATCTTTCTCTGCTAAGAACAGCCTGCAGGTGGACTTCGTCCATCTTACAGACACCAATTTCCAAGAGTACCAGCATTGCAGCAACCAGCAGATAGAGACTAATAATCATCCGCTTGAGACAGCGCTAACACTCTTACATTCCCGAACCGTCCTGCTTAGGTACGCAAGACACGGCTGGCCCCGGCATTCGTATCCCTCACACCCCACTGCGACGAACTTGTCAGCCACAGGCACTTCTCGGCATTCAAGGGCATGGAGAAGATCGGGTGATCACTGGGTTCCTGCCACCAGCCCCGAGCCTTGATGTGCTAGGCAGAAGCAGGTGTGCCGACTTGCATCCGTTCAGCTACACATGCGAAGGTTCACCAGGTGCACCCTTAAGGCCCATCGTGACTAACACTGTGAATTTTTTTTATTTTCAGGCGCAATTTCTGGCTTGAATCACCTTCTGGCCTGCTTACCCGAGAAACCGCAGGCTTTTCAGAAGGTAGTGCATGTTTCTCTTCCGCATGAAGGCTCTTCGTCTTATTTACATCGAGCTTTTGAACTTTACGTTCTTCCTTCTCCCGCTTGCGCTGCTCCTTCTCCTCCTTTCTTTTGCGCTTTCGCTCTTGATACTCGCTATCTTCTTCCTTCGATCGCTTCTTCTCTTGATTTTCAGATTCATCATCCCTGTCCCGGTGATGCTTTTTCTTCTCCTTTTTATGTTTTCTATCTTTTTTGTCCTTTTTATCCTTCTTATCCTTCCTCTCCTTACCGTCAGATCCTTCCACATGAGTCGTCAGACTGGGCACCTCTACAGGCTTCATGTCACTCGCTGTAGATGTTCCACCTGATGGCTCTGGTTGACTATCTGTAGTATGCTGAATATCCTGCGAATCCCACTGTTCTTTAGAAGAGCCATTCTGAGACATTTTGAAGCTTCCCGACATTCCTGACTTCGGCCCCAACCGTATCGGACTAGAGCTCTCTCCGGCATCATGACCTCCAGTTTCACGGAAACCATTGGCGTCACCTTCACTACCTATGCTAGATCCTTGCTGCATTCTGTGCACCCCCAAGTTCTGATCCTCGGTGTCAAATGTCTCCTCTTTGATAGGATGAACATCATCTTCAGCAGGATCAATTTCACCCTCTTCAACTTGCGGACTTGTAACCTCTTCTTTCACCCGAGAAGCACCAACAGCCTCGTCCCTCTTTCCTTGATAGCTACTGACAGGACTTTCTGCAACACTCTTTTCAACCTTCACACTAATATGCACAGACGTAGGAGATTGGGAAGCTGCTAAGTCCGTGACAGCTCCCTTTTCGTGAGATCCGACTGAAACTTCCATAGGACTTCCACCTGCATCACTAGATGCTGGCTTCAGCCGCAACTTCACCTTACCAACCCTTGGACCTGACTTTACTGATTCTCTCCCTCCTGAATTTGCACTTGCAGTAGGAACTTCTTCTTTGGGAAGAACGTTTGGTCGAACCGGGACGACACGAATTCGAAGAGGTTCTGGCCGTGGTGGCTGGAAAGTTATTTTCAGCGGCTGTGTAACCTTGGGCTTCAGCTCTTTTGGTTGTACTTTGTCTGGGGCGATTTTCTGCAAAATTGGCGCCGGTATAGCCGATGCGTCCCCTCTTCGGTAGAGAGACGCTGGTCTGCGATTCAAAGTATCAAATAATCGTCATGAGTACCTTGGACACGCTACCTGACAGAAATCGCATAGACAAACAACAGGGCCATTGCGCTGGAACCGTTCAGATATGGAACAGTAAGTCCGAAATCATAGACTGGGTGGAAAAAGAATTTAACATACCTGCCAGCGAGAATTTGCAACACCGAGAAAATGTGATGACGCAACAGCACATTAGAAAATGATTCGCTGCTGTCAAATTGCTCTAAGAGTGCAGCTAGAGTGGAACCGCTCATAGTTGTGCTTATTTCATCTTTAAGTAGACAAATATTGATAACATGCTCCATGACTTTACATTGAACTGCAATCATAACCCAAAGTTGGATGTCAACCACAACCTCTATGATACAAGACAAAAAAATTTGATTTGCAAGACGTGGCGCTAGTCAATTTTAACCTTAACTCGTAAACTTGAACGCCGAACACTGCAAACTGCATTGACTGGTCTAAAAGCTAACCTTAAGTGCATTCACGGCAATGCACAAAACAATGGACAAACCTACTCGAATAATGAAACAATCTAAACATCCCATACATCATGTAATGTATACCTGTCAAAGACGGATCCTTTTTAACGAGACGAAGAGCCAGGTTGACAGAAGCATCGAGACCCCGGAACCTCGCCTCCAATTCAAGTAGAGCTTGCAATGCATTAACGCGAACTTGTCTAGTACTAGACTGTGCATCTCCAAATGGCTGCAGTAGCCTCTCCAAGCTCTCCTGCCAAGCAACGAACAATGTCGGATACATATATTTAGAAAAGGCTCAAGAGAACCACGATTACGCATTAAAATATCGACGCATATAAAACTCCAGCCGTTGAGACTTACCACAGGCAAGACATCTGAAAAGTTTATAGCAAGACGAGTCAAAGTATGTATACAGCTAATGGTCAAAACACCGTTGTAGCTCGGCATTAATCTGCAGGTCAAGAAGAAAACGTAAGGTTAGCAACCGCAAGTCGGTAACCTGTTACACGGACACGCGAAAGACTGACTAGGTCAGTCTGCAATTTCGATGATTGCGAGCTGCGTTGACTCTCATGGTAGTCGTGTCACGAAAAGTTCTTGAAAGTTCTACCCAAAAAGTAGGTTTGCTCCTCGAACTTATGTTTGTTAATTCAGGTACAAAATTAAACCTGTGAAATTAATACATAAAGAGCTGGAACAATATGTAATTCCTTAATTTGACAGAGGTTAAACCCCTAAAGGTGAGAAAGCTGTCTACCTGTCATACTGCAAAAATCGGTCAATTTGCTTCAAGAACTTCGAGAAATTCTGAAGATTCTGCAAGTCATAGATCCACGATCAGAATAATTATCCCAATTAATAGTGTCGTTTTGAATGGGGTAAATGGGACGGAAAAACATTTGTGATGTTTTTCCATCACCTTTCCTCGTTGAATATGGAGACGAAGAACGAGGTCTTGTCAACTGATCAAGCTAATAAGCCATGCTAAGCAACGATCCTGGGCATGTCAGATACAAGTCACCACTACACATCAAAATGCCATCATAAATAAAAGATCTGAAACTGAAAGTTAGAGAATTATACCTGCTGCCCAAACTCAAGACTGCCAATGGCTTCAATCACTGAAGCAAGCCAGAACACGTCTGAATACTGGTTGCCACTATTATCATTGTGCTGCATGTAACAAGTGTTCACTACTCAGCATAAGGTTGAAGCCAAAAGTATGTGGCGGAATTCATATGAATTTGAAGACGGATATCAGATAATTTTTCAGCAAATTAGGAGCATGCATACAAGAGGCAGGGTAATCAGTGGGTAGAGGCACGGAACAGACGAGATAATATACGATCAGCCTTCGGAGACTGAAGCATCTCAAACTTAGGTGTTGCATGTCAAAGGTGCCAACGAAATATACTAGATTGAAAACAAGAAGAAGATGATGCTCGAAAAGCTGAGACCAGTCATAAGGAAGCACGGAACATAGTCGACAGAAATAGCAAAGATGGCTTACAATTGCCGTCGTATACTTAAATGATTGATGAAGATGACAGACACAAAAAGATTTCAACAAATTCATTTGGAACAATTTACTGATAAAATATACACGCAACAAAGGTATATTTACCACATTTTCTTACGATGGCTATAATCGAGAGATTATGATGATGCATTGAAGACAATCTAAAGCGATTCCTCGTTTTAATGAAAAACTGGCACCCGGCAGGACCATGGGACGCAAGATTGATTGCAACTCCCGGACAGGTTATTGCTTTAGTTTCAAGATCTCCATGTTGGATGATCGTAAATGCAACTGGGGCTTCCCATGTTACAAAAAACCCCAGTGGCAACCATCAGCCACAATTCTACAACACTTTGCAATAGGAACCTTGAAACGAACTTCAAGAAGTGATCATGTTGAAGAACTTCTAAAACCTCTGCAACTTGACATGAAAGCCAAATTTGTAAAAAGCCATCCATTCATGTCTACAATTATTTGATAACAGAAATCGACCTTCAGTATATGGAGGATGAAGTCGGTTGCTTCGACTGGACTTTTACCGTCACTGCCACGAACAGACGCAACTGCGCCCGGTATGGCCTGCAAAAATGAACCAATCATACTGAATGACATCTGCCATCTATGATTTCGTAATTCCATCATGAGCTTTGATGGTAACAACAAATTGGAAATAAAAAAACCAATCTGGTCCCAAAAAGGGTAAACTAATAAAAGATTGAAAGATGAGAGCTGAGAGCCGTTAAGGACCTCAAGAACGAGGTATTCTGCTAGGTCGTGGAAGTCATTTGACCTGCGGAGCGAAAATAATGAGAAGAATTTAGGCAAAACTTCTTGTTTGCAAATGACATGCTTGACAAAGATTCAACGTTGATATACATGTTAATAACAGCACAAAATGTTCTCTTGACACATGAGTTCTTCAAGGAATTGCGAGCGGTAAAGGTAATGCCTTCGGTTATCACCTTGGGAGCCCGATGTCAGGATCACATCTGCGACTCTTATAGAACTTTATGAGATTTGATAGGCCTGTCCAGCTGGTAGCCTGAACAGTTTCAGCAAGACTGAATGTGAGAGAAAAGCAGAAATCAAGGGGACCGGTTTTCTTCGAAAACACTTGTCCATTCACGAGTTCGTTAATAGTTAGAGGATGTTTGATACCAACCTCCGTGGCCGTTCTTGCAAGCGCAGAAGCGGCTTCAATCCTCACGCGACAATAGACCTACAAGCACGTGTAAGTGCATTAGTGATAGGTCCTGATTGATGTACTAGAGACTTAGAGACTCAATGAATCACCAGAAACCCTCAAAGAAGCTGTAGAGAGACTTAGATTCATTACCTTGGAATCTATCAAACAATTATTGAGGGCAGTGACAATTCCAAAAGTTGGTCGCGGAAGAGCGCACATTGCTGCAATTGCCTGAAGTTGCCCCACAACATCCCTGTCTTTCTCTAGTTGATTAATCTGTACCCCCGGCATCATCAGCAACATGAGTCTAAATACATCAGTTTTGGATGACTTAGTACAGTCTACCATCCACTCCAGAGTTTCTGTCTCACCTCAAAACTTTTAACCAGCCAACCATCACAGTATGTCACTAAGAGGATCATTTTGTTGTCACTGATAACAGTGACAATGTCCACGTATTGAGCAGACCCGTGACTCTTATAAAAAGGAAGGACTTGTTGTCTATCAGAAACCACCATATCAATGATCTAAACATATTGATCATGCAAGATTATACTGATCTAGCGGAAGTGAATAATTTCATACCCACATCTGCTCAGGCTGATGTAATTGAATTTCAGCTATGTACTCCATCTGAGGATCCGCTCGCAACCACAGCAACGGAGACTCCATGCTGCATATGCAATCCATCGGTTTATGCATGTTTGATATGATGTACAAAGCAGGTTACCATTTGAATCAAATAAGTTATGAAAGCGCTCATGCAGATGACTCACCTCACACGCATGTCAGGAGCTGCAGCATCCACACTATCGTCTGCAGGTTCAGCTTTACTTCCTTTTTTAGGTTTGGCAATACGCCTGCCTGCAAGCTTTGAGTGACATTGTATCTCTAAAAGTTGGTAGGTCTCTCCAGCCATGGGAAGGCTGGGTTGATCGTACATGCCATCTAGCTCATGCACCCGGATGCTCATCATACCTGGCCACCCTGGATCAGGTGTTACTGGCTTGCTTCCTGTCTGAGTATCAGTTGTAGCCAGGTCTGAAGCTGCAGTAGACTCACGACGTACAGCAAGCTCGACCATGTTACGTCGCTTGCTATAGGCGAAACCCATTCTGGAAATAAATCCACATTGCGAAGTCAAATTGTTATCTCAGTATCTTCCTAGGTACAGGCGGAATATGATTAGCCTCTTACTATAGCTTTTGACCCTTTCATTAATATGAATATAATGTACAAATTTTTCAAATATCATGCATGAGCAGGCTGGAGAGATCAAACAGCAAACCTTAGACGCGGGCAGCCAGATGACTCTACCCAACGAGGGAAAAATTCCTTCAAAAATGGGCGCTCCAAATTTCCAAGCTTATTTGCAAAATGACGAAACTAAATACCGAAAAATGCGTTAAAATTTTCACGACTGCCAAAAACCTAAAGATATCCTCGAAATACGTAAAGAAGTTTCACTGTAGAGCTAACAGAAGTAAATATACCACAGTATATCAGGAAAAAACAAATTACATAAATCAATCAAGATATGCAAAGTCAGCTCATTGATGCTACTAAACAACCCATCAATTTCGGAAGGCCAACAAAGCTGAACAGGGAAATCAGTACTAAAGACTTTGGACTCAAGACGTTCCGTTACGATTTAGGTGCATATCGAACCTCTTTGGTGCTCAGAGTCCGCATATGACGTACAGGATCCTGAGCTCGAAGAATAATGCGCTGCAGAATCTGAATTTAGAATAGCACACGACTTTCAAAAACTTTCTCTGGAGGCGTAATCACAAATGCAGGGCAGTTTTTCCTCACGTGTCAGACACAGAAGTCGAAAATCTAGAGGAATCATTATTCGCCTGTTTCTGCAAGGAATAATCGCACACTTCACCTTTTTAAAAGGTTCCGGGCCCATTTGCTTCTCCAACATCTGAACAACAGCAGTCTGCACCAGCTCCGAAATTCGACCACAGATAGTCAGGAGCATTTTAAGCATTCACTTCAAAAAAACCTCGATGCACCTGATGCCAGCATTTCAAGCGCAGAAGTACAAGAACGAAAAATTAAGATCAATATCTCCGCAAATTTATCCTGTGATAAGACGCTACGTTTATATCTCTTTATGTATCTTCCGAACTATGTTGTAAACAACGAATCTACTGTCGGAAAAGGTCTCGTTCCCGTACGATAATTGCATGACTCCCAATGCAACTTAAGCGGATATTAAAAGAAAGAAGTCAATGAAAGCAGTTTTGGAGACAGTTGAAACTGAGAAAAATATATTGGACAAGGACCAAACTTGTGAACTGCTGTGTTAAGCTCAGGAACGCGCCTGCGCGATCCAATACAAGGGACACCCTGGAGAAGTTTTTAAAACTTAAGGGTTCGAGGTCCAGTGTGGCTGGAGAGAGATCCGCCTAGTAGTTTGGTTCCTCCCCGTCTAGATTCTGTGATTGACCGAAGTTTATCTGTCACCAAAGTTTCAAGGTATCCAACTTCCGTCCACCTTAAATCTACTCCTAAGGACAGTTTTGTTGCCCTCGCAATGTTCTGCACCTGGCAGGTCTCCCTTGCGTCCCTCAGGCATCCAGGAGACTTCGACCGTACGGGTGATACGGCGTATGATAAAGCTGTATACTTCAATTAAGTTTTGCAAAATACGTTCATGGGGTTCACTTCAGACCATATTGCAACTAGAACTTTTCGTGTGGTTTGCTAATACCGTTCTACGCTAAGCTTTACGCTGTATAGCTGCTAGCATAGAGCTATTGATGGTATAGGCACTCCATACTGCTGCTCCATATTCTAGGGCAGAATATTCTGTCGCATCAAATAGTATTGTAATCAAGCACATTTCGATGTTTAGACTGAACTCGCCAGTGCTTGACTGCCATACTCTAAAAATCACAAACACCGCACCCTGGCATGCGCGCTGCTGGTAATTGTGAAGTACAAGATGTATTTAAGCAGAAAAGTAGATTGTGGTCAGTTCATGACACGAATACACCTAAGACATGGACAATTTGGGCAGTGATCAAATCACATAGTCGAAGGTGTACGTACAGCCTTCCAAACACGAATCTGACCAAGCGCTCCAAGTGTTTCAACTCCATACTGGTCTGTTCGACCGACAGATGGCCAGCTCAAAACCGGGGCTCCTTCCACATCCACCGTACACACAGCTTCATTTGCCTGCCAGCGATACTTGTTAGCAAAAAAATCTGAGTAACTGAAGTGAAAGTAACTTCACCGGGTGAGATCTTAAGAATATGAGCACAAGCTAGGCTCCAGTAATACAATACCAAAGCTTCAATGACTTACTTTGTACCGGCGATAACGTGCTTCATTGTTGCCCATGTGACGTTTGACAAATTGATCACTTAAGAATCCAGCGAGGCCTTCCAACAACCATGCTGCAAGATGTAACAGAAATATCAACCACGTGCATGAAATATGAAACCCCCCTTATGACCATGCTCGGGAAAATCTATCACAAAATGATCCAAATCTTGGGGTCTGAATACATTCACGATGTTGCTAGTCAAGTATTGGAAAACAATAACAGGAATACAATGTTGCGGAAATTGGTGCAGTTCTGAGCAGCTACCGTCTGCTGGTGTATCTGGTGTAATAAAAACACCAAACCACTGCTGTGCGAGAGCATGGGCTAATTTTACTTGCGTGTTAAATGCCTGCAAAAAACCAGCGCGTAAGCTCCAAATTGTGAAAAACCATATTAATCCGCGCTGTAGACCATATGGACAAGTCTTAGATGGCTTCTGAATTGTTATCCCTTTTACCTAGAAGACATTCGTTTACTTGGAGGCCTTTAACAACAAATTGACTCACAGAAATTAATTACTCCTCATAGTTGACTTTTCGTAAATATCCCTTACGAGGTTCAAGTCAAAGGGATGAGTACATAGATAACAAGCATCCATGAATATAGTTCAGTACAATATCTATCTGAACACCTGATCACATCATTTACCTGATCTATTATTCTATCGTCAACGAGCAGATGTGAGCTGATGGTAACCATAGAGGCACCTATAGAAACTGAACTGGAAGCAGATTCGGAATCGATAAAAACTTGTTTGTAGCACCCAAAAGGGAATGGAGCACCGAGATATTCCTCGTAGGTACTGCATAAGGAGGACATGCACGGAGTGATTTAGAGAGACAAGTTAAACAAGAACACGAAAATCAGTGCAATTGATGGAATTCGGGGGCCTTTTTGAGGCTACACATAATGAATGCACATGTGGACGCTTATCGGATCTGCAAGCATCTACTTCACCTTCAACGACGACTCATAATAGTCCGAAGTAAAACGGAGATACAACAATCTCACAAGCATCTTATAATCATATATTTGTTTGTAGACACAGGCAAAAAGGGCGATTCACAGGATGGCATTTCTAAATTAACAGCTATAGCGTCCGAGAAGATCTTCTCATTTAACGTGGGTTCGTCAGGGACATCTTAAAAGCAAGCAGTAGTCTCTCACAGACCTTGGAACCTTCATTCTAGCTTCACCTGTCCTACACGAGCCGCTTAGAATCCACTATGCCATGTAGTCCCTTTGAACCATGAATTTATGGCTACGAGCTAAGGATTTGTCGATAACTGTAGATATAGAAATTGTAATGGGGAAAATACAGTTCAAAGAACTCAAGGAACCAAAACTTTTGGTATATTACGTGCAGATGAATATCGAGCAGTATTGTATGGACAGAAGTAGCGGATATCATTCACATCGAAACAGCAAAGGCAGAACAACGAGAAAATACTATTTGGTTTGGTGGTAGATGTATAAGAGTGCTAGCTCGTAGGTGCGTGGAAAAGAACTTTTTGTGTTCTGGAAGCCGCCCAGAGACCATATATGCCTTGATATTTTTAGTTCGGGTCGAGTGGAGGATCACCTAATACAGCCTGAAATATACATACAAGTAGGCAGCAAAGAAATTTAAAGAGCTTCTAGGTTGATAAGAGATTCTGTAAAACTCTGATGGAGCAAGGGCCGACTAGGAGGAAGCTGCTTAGTAACTCTGTGAGCCTTCCCTCCAAAAACCCATGACCTGTGTGAAAAAAAACTGGCCATTTACACTTCATAAACAATATATCGTAGATAAAACGTAGGAAGGAAAATTGAAAGTTAAAAAGTTATTGTGTAGGTAATAAAGAAGTACGACCTAGGCCAGAAAAATAAAAGTTTTGCGTGAATAATAGCAGGACGAAGGTAAGGACATGAGAAAAGAGAGTGCAGTGGTTACTGCTTGTATCATAACGACAACAGAAGACAGTCTCCGATAGCAGGGATAAAAGAAAATGGAAAAAAGACGTCCAAGAATAAAGACTGGATGGTCTCAATAAACAAAAATAACACTGCATGAGAATGAGTGAGTCGAAGGTTAATATAAATGGGACGAGAGTCTACAAATGACATCAGTAGATAGCATCGGCATGCATGTTAAGAGAGTTTAGGGTTTAGGGTTGCAAAAATTGCAGCAAGATAACCAAGGAGAAGATGTGCAGTCTGGACAACTCATATTCATACCTTCTAAACAAGCAGCCAGACAGTTTGAAGGATTCTGGACAGATATGATAAAATGCTCTTCAAGTTTGGCAAAGTGGTGAGCATGTAGGCACCGTGGCCAACCACTGACTTCATGTGTCAATAACCGATGCAACTCAGACCTTCAACTGTTTGAGAACTAGCATATTTCAGGCGGTTCAGTACTCACAGAGCAGCTTTCAGAGAACTTATAGAGGTGTACTATACACAGCAGTCGAGATCATGGTGTCGACATATCTGAGTAGGATCCAGTACTTCTCTTCACAGATTTAACCCCGCTGGTTTATGTGACTTATGGACAAAACTGGAGAAGTATGAGCACTTGAGTCAGCTAAGTTATGAATAGAGCATATGAGTCTGCTAAATGTGGGATACTATCCGAGTAACACACGTATCTAAAGAAACGACCTACAAGGAACTATCAAGTGGCATGACAGTAATCTTGACAATGAGTAGGGGGACTATATACAGATAACATATTCACACTCTTGGTAACCGACAGATTTTACAACCCCAAAAGTTGCAAATATGGATCCGTTGAACCCATACCACCACAACCCCTGTTCCGAGTAATTTGTACATTTCGCTTTGATATGCATAACTCCAAACAACTACTCCGATCAGGTGTTCCAAAGTTTGACCCGGGCTGGGAAAATGCATATAAAAAAGAGCTGCAAATTATAAATGAGCGAGTGATCATTATTCCTTCAGATCCTTGAGAAGCAGAACTGGTTGTTGGCAAAGGTAAAACGATAAAGGACGGACCTTCAAAGTTACCTTGAAAGAAAGTGGAAGAAGCTAACTGTACATTGTAGTTTTGTGGCATCACCCGGCATACACATGTGTGAAATCATTGGATTTGACCGATCAGGAAGCACCACCAGAGGGGCAACCACCAACGAAATGTTACTAGCTGTGGTGGGTATGCTGAGGTCGTAAGCATAGGTTTTAAGCGAAGAGTTTTCATCCCTGTAAACCTGTGGACCATGTACAGAATCAAGCAAATTCAAAGATGGCATCCCCTTCATACTCTAACTTGAGCATGCTCTGGTTATCATGCACATGAGCGAAAGATTCTTATAGAATTAGCAGTGTCATAAAATTCTAAGTTCTACGTAAATCTTTCACTCTCGTACATCATTCTGGGGCAAATTGTGGCACACAACCTTCGACCTCATCCTCGGTAAAATTAGCTTAAAATATGACCATGAGTACGCTAGTGCGAGCAAACTGCATCATACGCTACATCCTGCTTCAAAGAAAGAGTTCACGCTGCCTTCCGTCCTTACAAAACAAAGTAAACAATTTACGTTTTTAAGGAAATATACAGCTCCTAACTTTGGAAACAATTCTCAGAGTGGCTCACCTGGTAAAGAAGTTTGCCACTGCTGACGGCAATGTATTCAGAACGAACAGTGAATTCGAGCGAGTAACTGCCAAAAGCATATTGGTATACTTTAATGAGACTAAGCACAAGAAATTACTAGCATGAGGCATACATATGAAATGCACAACGACAGCCTTAGATAAGACAGCACCTTGTAGAAGAGCTGACCAAGGTATTCTGAGAACAAATATGATGTATTCAAATATGATGAGTTGGGTATGGAATATTAACTGATTCAATTTATTTTGATGCAAATGTCTTCCAAAGATGCGCACAAATCCTCACGACATGCTTTGCTGGATCATGGAGGCAAACACATACCTACATCGCTCGGACGTTGAGTCCACACAGGGGAACCAGCACCTTGCCCTTCTCAGCTGACTATTGGTGTGAAAGACGTTCCGGTGGAAGTAAGCTCCAGCAGTGGGTTTTTCAACCCAATACTGCACGTGAATGAGTTTCAACCGCTGTACACAAACATCATAAGATACTAGTCCTCAGCGAAATCCAGTCAGTGTAGAGATAGAGACCTTACACAAGCATTTAGAATTACGAGTCTATGAGATCATCTCGTAGACTAGTAATCATCTCATACATCTCATTGAGATGTCTGAGCTCTAAAAAAAAAGCGAGAATCGTCTGAAGATTGGTTTTATTATGGTATAATAAAGCCAATCTTTATCGTTATTTTAGGTTACATTATAACCTACAATAACGATATGGTTGGAAATGCCGAATTGAGAACAGAGAAAAGAGACAATAAATGACCTGCCATTGATTGTACTGCGAAATTTATAAACAAGGCCAATGTACGGACCACACAAAAAAACGAAGAAAGAAGTGGATATTATGATGCCTTCCTTAAAAGCATACAACAGATACCTTATTCAATACGAGAAGGATCCGGCAGTTCATGTAAAAAACACAGCAGAAAATACTTATGATTGGCACAGAAGTATCACTGAGAACTTTCATAAGGATTAAACAATTATGCGATTATGCGGTATGGATACAAGAAAAGTGCGTACAAAAACTGGAGAAGACCGAGAAGTCGTGCGCATTATCAGAAGCAAAATTTGAACCTCAGTTAAATAACTCAGTACTGATTGATTATATGTTGAAAGAGTAGTATTACCTCATTCGCGGAACCAGGTGTTAGTAAGTTTGAAGCTTCAGGCTTTGTCTCCGATGTTGTCTGAGGGATTCCATTGTCTCTAGAGTCTGATAATGCTTGCTCGGGTGGAGATTGACCCTGACTGGCATCTATGGAGTTACCGGCAGCATCCAAAAGGGATATCAAAAGCTCTGGAACCATTTCCTCTTCCAAAGTGGCCACGTATCTAGGATACCCAATATCAGCCGCCTCAGCTGGGGAGCTTGGTATGGATGCTCCATTCCTATCCTGCTTATTCACACAATGAACCTGCTGTAGCTCAAAATTTACGGGGTTACCGTCGACCAAAACTTTCTCGATGTGCAGACCACGAGCATGGAGCCCTATCACTCCACTCTTGGGTGCCACCACCTTCAACTCCGTATACCTATCCAAAAACATAACTCCAAAGAATCAATTTGGAAACCACAAATCAGGTACTTGCATTCGGTTCCAGTCAGTACAGGGAAGGAATTGAATTTTAGCAACTAAGACTCCTCACCCGTAAATACGCTGTTCTGCGATATCAACAGCAACGCAGAGTTTCTGATCGCGTATTGTACAGCACCAGCTTTCATCAGGTCTGCTGACTGCTTCTGCATTGGGAGGACGACTATCCCTCTGCTTCTGCTTGCGCTGTTTTGCCATTAATCTCTATACTTGTATTCCAATTCCATGCTTGTATCAAAGCAACAGCTGAAGGAGACCCTAGCAAGAACACATGTCTTTGCCCCAATTTGTAAGCAGCATAAACTGTAAGTCACCTTCTCCCTTCCAACTACAATTGCAGATTTGAGCTCCAAACTCAGCTGTTTCAAAATACAAATTCTATCAACTCTCAGCTAATAGTTTCGCCGCGCGACCGTTTTAACTATAAAATCAACTGCTGCATTGTACCATCCCCGCTGATTCTGCCCAAAGAACCACAGGCTGGCATCTACCAGATGAAGAAATATATATGAAATGCAGAGACAAATTCGACACTTTCCACTGCTTCGCAAAAAACCTCGACACCTCCTCTATCACCCCCAGCACACTCATCCTAAAGACCACACCCCGAGCACCTGCTGCTTCTCCTCCACTTGGTTCCATTCATCGTACGAGCAGCTTTCACATCCTGGCTCGTTGTGCTCTGAGTCCCACGTGATTCGCATCGTTCCGAAAGTATGTCATGTCATTTTACAAGAACATCCGACAGTTCAAAATCCCGGAGCAGCTCCACAGTCATCCGAACCCGCTCCGCCTACGCCTGCAACACGCTCGCTGAAATGGCGCTCATGCTTCCACGGACAGCCAGCAGTCAAAATGTGCAGCAAGCTCTCAATTTATAGCCTTCCCCTCTTCTCTGCGGTCGACGAGAAGAGGACTTTCCAGACACCGGGACCCATGTGTTCATGACATCCAGCGGGGGCGGCCAACGGCGCGTCGCGAACGCCTCCTATGACGATGGTGGCCCCCATGTTCGAAGCTTATTATCGCAGTGCGCTCTGGCGGTCGTGACTACAACTACCATACCAGCTGCCAGTATGCTGCTTATGCAAGGTGTGAAGAAACGGAGTAAAATAACGAACAAAGAGAGGGGCAAGCAATATAGCTAAAGTTCTAACCAGTCACTTAATGATACTTAGCAAAGTGAAATATGTACTTCTGCATCTCACATATCTCAATTGTCGAATTCAAAAAATTTATAACTATCATACAATATAAATACATCACCTTACATAAATTTCTTTAATCTCTATACTAGCTAGTGTTGCACTTATATTATTGAAAACACTCATTACTGTCAAATAGTGTACAACAAATTATAGCAATTTAATATACTATAATAGTCTCTTTACACTCTCTCACAAACACTATCATGTCAAAGTACATAGTTTTGAAAATATTATCGTCTATAGTTAAAAAAAATATCAACAATTTACATTCATACTATACAAATTTGAATATGAAAATCTAGCTCCACCTCAGTCATTTAATACAATGTCTAGTCAATCTCTTTAAACTTATGTCCAAGTAATGATTGTGAGTGTTGTATCTTCAACAATAACCTAGTCAATTAGTGTAATGTCTAGTCAATCTCTTTAAACTTATGTCCAAGTAATGATGGTGATTGTTGTATCTTCAACAATAACCTAGTCAATTAGTGTAATGTCTAGTCAATCTCTTTAAACTTATGTCCAAGTAATGATGGTGATTGTTGTATCTTCAACAATAACCTAGTCAATTAGTGTAATGTCTAATCAATCTCTTTAAACTTTAGTCCAAATAATGATTTGAGATTGTTGTATTTTCCACAATAAACTATAGTAGTGACTAGTTATATCTCAGTTTAGGCTAATTAGCCCTCACCTTAGTCTAATGCTACTATGATGTGCACTTCTTTTCGGTTTTCATTGTATCCGCAAAGATTACATTCCATGTCAGATTTTGTCAACCAATCACATAAATCTATCGTAAACTAACCGCTACCTAATACTAATAATCTAAACTTACTATCATTATGTACGATACACATGTCATCATCCTATAGTGTACATATGTGGATATAAAGCTCATAACTCTAGAACAAAATCATGTATTGCATGTACGATCTTGTCTATTGCAAAGCATTTCAACACTCTTCTTGATATTTATCTATAGACACAAGTGATATCAAATAGCACACTTATTATTATATTCATCATTATTTGTTGCATTATAAATTTGCAAACAATAATATAATGTAAATATTGTAGCTCCACATTATATAGAGTTAAATGAATATGATTATTTTTTGGTCAAATGCTTCAAAGCAATTATATATATATATATATGAAGAATGATCACCAAATGAACTAAGTAAGAATCACACCAATTAAAATTCTTACTCATCTTTATAGAGTAACAAAATCATTTAGTATCATAAGATTTAATCCAATTGCAATGAAATATATCATAACATATACATATACATATAATATATTTCAACAATTGACATACAACATGACTATACAAGATGTCAAAACTAATAAATATATGAAAGTATTATTAATATATATAAAATAAAATAAAAATCATATAAACCTTATTAAATAGAACACTAATCTATTATGCATTTATTCACAGATTTTTTGAAATATATATTGAAATTTATATACATTCAAAGCTTTGACATTGTGAAATACAACTAAATTTTTACATATTTATGACATATTTAATTTTTTTCCATTTATACAAAATTAATTAAATATTTTAATAAAAAATTGATACTAACAACAATAATATCACAACAATTTCTCTAAAATATTTAATTTTATTCAATCTAATAATTTTTATTGAAAAAATCATTGTATTCTAAAAACTTGTATATATGACTCAAACATAATTACATTTTAATAATAATAAACAGACATTCATGAACTTACATATTTTTCCAAAAATTAATATTTTCCAGTGAATGAATAGAATCACTAAAAACATATCAAAATTGATATGTTTCAAAAGTATCAATTCATCATGGTTAAATCTATATTTTTGGTTATTTTTTGAAATAATAAATATTTTTAAATATCTGTTTCTTATATTATTCTTATTTATTATAATGACATGAATATTACAAAATTTATATTTTAAAATGATTTTTTCATATTAATTATTTATTTTTCCTCCAAATATACTATAATTCACATTATCTTCAAATTCCTATGTTTTTTTTTCTTCAACACTGTAACTAAATCATTCTTTATAATTTATATTTTCAATAAGTCAGCATTTTGTATAAATAGATAAAATTAATTCTTTATGTTATCATTATATTGCGATAGAGAAATCATCAAAAATATCATACAATTTTTGTTTTTTGTTTGAATGTGATAAATTATACATTTACACTTTCATGATATTGAAATAGGGACGACTAAGGCCGAACTCGTTGTTGCTACGGCCACATCTGCTTTTGCTACGGCCACACCCGCCCGCTAGTTTGTCCACGCGCAAGAACCCATATGGATTTGAATATGTTGATCCACTAGTGGCCCAGAAGAGGAAGGAGGCGTGCTTACGTTGTGGCCTTGTTGGGCATCGTCGCAGCTCAAGAATGTGCTCTGCAGCTTTGAATGCGACGGTTGCGTCCGCTTCAAACCCGACAGTTGCACCGAGTATGAGTTTGATGGTTGAGCGTAGTGGCAAAAGTGCGCTTGGATAGTAGCAAAAGCGTGCATGGTAATTAGGGAACGGGTGTGGCCATAGCAAAAACGGGTGTGGCCCTACTCTCCCCTATTGAAATAAGTATCATTTATTTCATATACAAGTTACATGATGCATTATTGAGAGAGTTAAAATCACACAACTTTTACCAGTATGCAGTATACACTTTGTAACGCATTTTTTTGAATTGCAACCCTACGACAAGAAACGGTTTGAGTTCATGTGTTTCCACGTGTATGTTGCAAACTCAATCAGATACATCTTTTATTGATGTTAAAATTTAAAATATTTATACTCTTAGTTATAAAGTTAGTTATCATTCTAAATTTAGATCAATTCATCCATTTTTCTTGATTGTATATTATTTTTTATGTCAATGCATTTAAAATAATTATAAATAATTAGTTACTTATTTATAAACATTATTTGAAATATATATGGATAAGACATTTATAATTTTACTCGATTTTATTATTAATATATTTAATAAAAATGTTTGCTTTACCAAATATTATACTTTGTAGAAGATATACATATAATCTAATCAGATCTAAATGTGCATACAAAATAATTATACAATAGATATATCAAAATTTTGTTAATAAATTCGTTGGATTTACATTTTCTTTGCAACAATTAAAAAACACATTTTTATATTTTTAATACTATATTATATTTTATTAATCAAATTGGAAAAAATGGATTTTCAATATATATAATTCATAATTTTATTGTATATGATCTTTTAATGTATAAACAAGTAGTTTTGAAATTTAAAGTTAATTTTTGTGGCTACTTAAATTTCTGTTATTGATATTCTGATATATATTTTTCTATTTTCATGATAATACAAACATGAGGCATGAATTTTATAACATATTTGATATGATTTTTGTTAATGATTGTTTTATCAATAGTATATAATGCATGTAAAGGTTTTCAGTTTTTTATGCTTACTGCATTGATTCCAAATGCTTTAACAACATATTTTGTTGTTATATATCAACTTAAAATACTTCACTCAATTGATTTGGCATATTTAGTTGGATAATAATTTATACAGGTTTGTTGCAAAATCATAGGAATAAAAAAATTTATTATGTGTGTAAGTTTTTTTAATTTAGCCAATTAAGCTATTGTGTATTCATTTTCAAAACAATACTCATTGAAAATATATAAATGAACAAATTTGATATGAATTACATCAAAATGCATTTCACTTCATTTCATTGTTAAATGTTTGTTTAAAACTCAATATTCAACTTTAAAATAAATTGATGAAAAATTAGATTGCCAAATTGTATATACAATCTTCATTTAATTTGAAATTATTAATTTATTTATAATAATGTTGATTTTCAAATGATATTTTAAATAATATTTTGATGTGATGTATTTATTGATAATTATAATATTTTAATTTGTAAATTTATATGATATAACATGCAAAGTTTTAATATCATATTTCTTAAATTGATACATTGATTGTTCAACTTTTTTAAAATATAGTAAATAAATATATTATGCGTAATTTTGCAAAATAAAAAATTTGGAAACATCATTTGAATTTACAATAAAAAAATATGTGTATCAACCTTAATTAGTGAAACTAGTTTGACTATCATTATATAAGAGAGTTGACACAATCTTTCTTTGACACAAATGAGAATTCTTTGTGCTTTATCTATTTGTAATTGTAGACATATGTAACACTAGGGTTTAGAGAGAAGCTCACTCGAAGATAGAAACGTAAACTCTGAAGATGAAAGATCCCAACAATGGTTCTACTATTCCTTATATAGCTCTCACCAACAAGTACAAGGTGATAAGATCTAATCCCCACCATCCATCCCACTACTAGTGGATGGATGACGTGGCGGATAACCCTAACAAGCACACGGATCGCTGACGTGGCACACCCAACTAACACACTAACTAACACACTCAATCCTTACCTACAAACACACGGATTGTTGACGTGGCACTATCAACTAACACATCTACTCTGTACCTACCAAGTGTGCGGATCGTTGACGTGGCAGCTATGACTAATGCACACTAAAGTATCTACATCAATATTTAGAGTAACCTCTACTTTAGTTCTAACTAACTAAAGATGGTTACAACATAACACTTACTTACCGTAAACCTCAAACTGACCAAACCAACAACATGATAAATTTAGAAGACACATGTATAATGTGGTTCACTCTTAGGAACTACGTCCACAAAGTAATACACTTGATAGAGTTGACTGCTTGAAGTAGACAACCACTCTATGCTATAAATAGCTACATATGAGATTAACCTCATTTAACTCATCAACGAGAGTTAATCTCAACACACTTGTATAAAAGAATTCAAGTTTGATGCATAGAATAATAATCTATGTTTTTTATTATACATTTATAATTTGATTTTCAATATTAATAAAAAAATACAATGTTAAAAGTTAAAAAGTTAACTCAATATAAAATTTCAATTTTATTTAAAATATTTGTATTTTTCCCAATATAGTTTAATTTTAAATAATTTTAAATATAAAAATAACCTGAATTTTTTAAACATAAAATTGAGACATCATCAACTTCATGATGCAATTGCATTTTCAAGAATTATTTTTGGAATAAAAAATATATAATACAAATAAAATTATATCATATTAAATCCACACATATGTTCGCAAGACAAATAAATATAGATTGTGTTATTTAAGATGTGATTGATACATGTTCATTTTACTTTTATTTGTTGATAATTTTTATGAAACAAATTAACACATTATATATATAAATTTCTATTATATTTTATATCAACAATTTTAATTTTAATTCTATATTTTTTAATTTTAAATAAAATGATAAACTATTAATGACTATATGCACAAAAAGATTTAATTTCCAATTGTGATGTATACTTCTATACAATTGTTAGCATACATGTTTAATTTCAAAAATCAAATCTTCCATGCACAAAGTGTTGGTTACTCTATATATATGGGATGGCCTACATCAAAAGCTCGAGGTTTAATGATTTTGTTGCGGGAGAGGGATCTTGTTATAGTGATGCGAAGACATAATTTGTGATACGTTGCTCATACAAGTGTGGAGGTACTATGCACAATTGGGAATCGTATGCAATGTATTATTGTAAGTATGGTACTCCAGAAAGTGTCAAGAAGAAGAGTATGATTTCTTCCAATTTTATTCAAGATCCATCAACAAAGGCAAAATTTGGTCATGGCAGCAGGGATAGATTAGATCATGATTCGCATCACAAGGGCTGTCAGTGCAGGTTTAGTGCCATTAAACTGCTGTCTAATGATCACATTCCACCAGGAATCACGAAATTGATATACAAGCATAGAAGACACGTAAATGCTGCAGGTGTAGCTTGTCATGGCATATCGTGTTTCGTGTTGGCTTGCCATCTTAAATGGCTCACAATTTATCCTTTGAATGCAGGTAACGGCATATTTGTTACATTTTCAATGTATTTGTTTATCGTTCACAGTCAATCTCCCGTCATATTCGTAATATCTACAATAAGTTTGTTGTTATTAGAGTTCTTCTATATACATTGAGTCATGTTGTATGTTAAAGATACAAACATGATTTTATATTGTTACAAGAGTTTAGGAAAATGTAACATTAACTTTATACTTTAATTATACTTTATACTTCAATAATTCATTTATAGTTAGATTGTCAAATATAGAGTACAATGGACACAAATTTATATAGTGAAATATTTTAAACTTTTAACACTAAGTACTAGAATCCTGCATTGAGCTTCAAAATTTTACCCATACCCATGAATGGTTCAACTGTAACCACCCACTATCCATCCATGACAACTATTCCATATCCATTATCCATCCATTACCCATGAGTTTATACCCAACTGATACCCATGAGTTCATTCTCCATACCTAACTCATATTCATGAGTCCATCATCCAAATAAAGTTACTTAAGAGCACTTGAAGTGTTTTTTAAAAAAGCAACGTGCCAATGAGACTTTTTAAAATAAAATTTGGACAATTAAAGTTTCATTACAAGTTGTGAGATTGTGTTTAACCAACAAATTGATAAAAACATGAATAGGTTCAACGGAGATATCACATGATGGAACGAGAGAAGTACAAATCATGTGACAAGATTTTTGTGATCATAATTTTGAAAAGAAACTTCAACTAGTTCAAAGTTTCACTTCAAGATATGGATTGTGTTTAACTTACAATATGATAAAAGCATGATCATGTGATAGACCTAGTGACATTATGTCATTATATGCAAGTGAGCTCTTCAAACACGGGACATGGCCATTGCCAAAAAAAAATGTTTCATGATTTTTGGATGTAGTGCTGATTGACTCCATTTTTCAGGCATGTGAAGAGTTACGAAAGAGTTTTTTTGGAGTTGGACATCAAAGTATAACAATGGATGCCCAATACCCATCCATTCCTTATATCCACCCATGCATATTAGCCCATACCCAGTATATATCCATTTATCCATGGATTGTTTGGGTATTGGTTACCCATTGCTGTACTGTGCTAAGTACTACTCATCATAAACACAATATGAGATTCCCACAATCATATGCATCTACACATGCACACTTGTACTTGATTTCTATAGGTTGTTATAAATGTTATGATTTGTTGAATTAAAAATCTACAACAATTTTGAGTGAAATTTTTCTAAATTAGAATAGCATGTACATTGTTATTCAAACACATGAACTCATAATAGAACTCATGACATGAATTAATTGATGCTAAGCCTAAAAGAAAAACTTATGTTCAAATAATAAAAAAGAATATCTTAGCAATCAGATGAATTAAATCTATGTTGCGAGTTTATTCATACATGACCGATTATGTTATTTAGAATTATGACATTGATAATTTGCATAGCTGTGGCTAAAAAAGTCACAATCATTATGACATGTCATAAATAAATTATAAGAAAGATGTATAAATCATCTAAAATACAAAAATCCTGAAGAGCTATACTAGGGTACTAAATTCTAACTTTTATCTTTTCTTAAAAATTGTACAAAATTAACAAATCATGCATCATAATCAACTTGGTAAAAATGGATCACACATGATGGTTGTGATGACTTCAATGAAAAAAATGAAAAAGAAGAAAATTATGATGAAACTACAATGATGAAATTTACAATAGTGGTGTGATATGTTATGACACATTTACTAAAACTATACACATATAGATGCTTTTGATTATTGTTAACCAGAAAAACAAAGTACCTACTAATATTTTGTTTTCATTATATGAAAGATTAATTAGATCTCATCAACTTTTGATGAGGTTGAGGTAAAAAATAAACGATATAAAAAATTGAGCTTTTAAGAGATCTCATGTACATTTGTCTTCCCCTCAAAACCGTGTAGGCTAAATCCATGTAAATGTTATTATGCAAGATATGAGTTTAGAATGTGGAAAATTGTGTAATAGCTTCAACAATGTTGTACGTGTCCTCATTGGCTGTCTTCTCAACTGATCATTCTGAAAGTTTGCAACCGATTCTTTTTCAACGAGCCTATTCAAATCTCTTAGAAACGTAGAACGTACTTCAAAATGAATTAATGTTCACAGCTCTTAAGATTTTATCATCTATTAGAGTAGTTTGAAGAGAACTCGTCTCAAGCATATGGTCAGGAGTTTCTCTCCCATCTTGATGCGAGAAGATTCGCTATAACTCATATGAGCACCGCAACGACAGATTAGAAGCGACATATTACAAACAACTTATTTCATGGTCTCAACTAAAACAGATATGAAATCATGTAACATGGATAGGTATGAAAGGAAACGAACGCGAGAGAAATCACAATGACAAAAGAAATTCGAGTAAAGCTGGTTTGAAGGCAAGGGAGAAAAAAAAACACTTGTTACTCTCTTGATACATCTACTTGTTTCCCAGATATCCTTGAATATCTCGTGCTTTAAATTCTTAAAATATGGTGCAAACATGCATCTTCTATAATGGACCCCGCTTTCCTAATATGGCATTTTCCCTATTTGTAGCTAATGAAGACTGGAATGCAATCAAGGACTTGTCCAAAACTCAGTTGAAAGAGGAGAAAACTCATGGTAAATAAAACAATGCTATTCATAATCTGAGTCATAAAGTGGGTACTCTTTAATCGTTTCAATTGTTTGTAGGTTGTACAAGGGCTACGCTTGAATGGACTGGAATGATTTGTGTTGCTAAGATTGCGTCAAATGTGAGCAGTAGGCTGCTGGTCCGGACAGGAAAAGAGGAATGCGCTTTATCGCGAAAGGAGATTCGAGGATCAGTTCGATGGGTTGCGTGTAGCGTATGATGTTGAAAGAATGGAGAATCCTATTGCGTGAAACTACAAGAGAATAGGAGCTTTGGAGGCTTCCGCCAAAAGAGGCTAGATTTGCGGTTGCAGCGGCTATCTGGAACGACCGCAGTCACGTTGGGGGTTCCGTCAAAAGGTGCAGTCGAGGTGATGATTCGATTGCTATGCGGCAGCGGGTGCGGTTACCACGGCCCTAGTGCACGCTTCGGCGACTCCTAACAGCACGCGGACGAAAGAAGACATTCCGAGAGTGATCTGACTGCCACCTTCTTAGCCTTAGGAAAGGGTTTGGACTCCAATCGTCATCTTTGGAAGGGAGAAAGTGAGGCAGCTTGTTGGGAATCAAGGCATGGGCCGCCCATTGCCCGGCCTTTCATCTCAGGTACAGAATTCTCTTATCTTGCTTGAGTTCGAATATGAAATGACAATTTTTGATGGTTTTGAATGTCGTGAGTGCTTCATTCTTCGATCGCAAGTTTGCTCAGTGAGCTGGACGAGCATTCTGGGTTTTCTTGTGGTGGAGAAACAATCAAGTTGTCTTTTCGATTTCCGATGAGACTGTGACTTGCATAATGTCTTGAAATTGGACTGTGGGAATTTGACTACTTGATTTGCAGGAAGGCAAAGATGTCTCCCTGGGAATGCCCGGAGCGTGGGCTGATGAGAATAGCGAGTTGGCCGATCATTACACGACCAAAGTTGGGGGCGAGCCAGTAAGTGATTCTTTTGCCTTCGCGCAGCATTCATTCTTGCCAGATTCGATGAATGCCACCATGACCCAGCAGACCGCCCAGGCATTAATTGAACCTTTGGTCTTCGGTTCGCATGCCTTTGTTTCGTGTCGAACAAATGACAAAGAGGTCATGACAAAAATTTGTTTGGATACTCAAGTCGGGTGTGCTTGTAGGATTGGCCGGCTCCTCTCAAACCCTTGATAAAAGGTGATCAGCTCAGATGTGCTGTTTGTGGTGGATACCTTGGCCTGGTGGCGCAGGTTTGTCACGCCCTTCTCTCTCGATTACAAATAAAGCTTGCTGTCCCTTATCCATCTGTCGAACTATTTGTGAACCCAGGACCCTGTTTCAGTCCATTTCTCCTGCCCTTCATCTTTATTTTCCATTTCCCTCAGAAGTATACGTGAAACTTTACTCATCAAAATTTCCTCACGAAATTCTCACGCCCGAAGTCCGGAAACCCTCCCCAGTTGCCGAGCTGTGCTAGTGTAAAGGGATGAAGAAGAATTAGAATGCAGTGAACAAAGAGGAGGCCGAAAAAGATGTGTCTATAAGTCCTGTAACGAGTAAGGACTGCCGTTGTTAAGACTCTAGAGTACTCAAGCTGGTGTGCAGACTGCGGAAGTGCGTTCATTTTCTACGTGTTCCTTTTCTTACAGGTGCACGCTCCTTTGACAACTGATGGATTCAACTTCCCGGAACGAACTCTCTACATCCTAGGCTGCCCAGCACAAGGCTGTGGAGTCAGTCAAACAAGGTGCCTACTCTGCCCAAATCAGGCATCATGTTTCGGATGATATGTTCAGACCAGAGAGGTTGAGTGATGACGCCTATGATGACAAGAGGAAACTTGGGCGTCCTGGTATATTTGAAGTAGGTGTCACTGTAGACTTGGATTTTTTTGTCAAGAGTAGCGAATGCCGATGCAAACTGAGCAATTTCTTCCAACTCCAAGGTCTTCATTTTCACATCGGTTCCGTGTTAAACGGCGATACGTTGATGTGTGATATTATCCACGGGTTTGAGCTTTTAGGTGAGAAGCAAAGTGAGGCAGAAAATATATCTAGATGTGAAAGTAAGGTAGTTCAAGGTAACAAATTTGTTATTCAATATAAGTTCTTAAAATTCAATCCTTCTATTACGCTAGGTAAGTGTGGCAGTTTTAGAGACACTAGGATCCATTTGTCGTAGGTTACTGTTGCGGCATGTGTTATACGATTGTCCAGGTACAGGTTGCAGATCAACAACTTGCAATGTTTCTCAAGGTTTTATGGACCTGTCATTTGACCTTCTTGGTTGGAAAACGATGATCAAGACTGATTTTTGTGAACGTGAGAAGTTTCCAGCTGGCGAACCATTAGAGTGCAAAAGAACACCCCTGAGATAGAAAACACGGCCGATTATATCGACCCTTCGCCATCAGCTGCTCCGGATGCCATCGACTCCGAATGGGGAGGAACTTCAAGTAGACAGGGTGGAACTGACAGAACCCAAAGAGACGATTGGTGGGATGATAATTTGTGGGATGGGCCTCCGGTTGAGGAATCCAGTTACGCGGAGGGAGACAGCATGAATTTTCAGGAACTTCAGTCATCATTGACTGAAGCGGCTCGATTGGCTGCAACAGTCTCAGGTCCCCCAAACAGCAGCAACATCAGCAGGTTAAGTGGAGGGCAGGGGAGTACTGGCACAAGCAGGGCTCGAAATATAAACCTACCTGGTACGAACCTGCACATCTTGTCTCATTGACAAGCCCTGAACATCATACCTTCTGAAAATGTTGAAGTAAAGTTCGGGTTTTCACAACCAGATTTTTAACTTTCCGGTTGCTGCACCATTGGTGACAGGTTATTGTTCAAGGTCCAGTTAGTCTTGTCTTATACTATACAGTCCAAGAATTTTGAATCTTAGCAGACGCAAGACGCTTATCCATGTTCAGGTAGTTATCCACTTGATACCGAAATAGCAATCGGGATTTTATGGTGTGCATCATGAATCGTTAGTAATGGAATTGGCCTAGAATATTTTATTAACATGTAAGGCTGGCTGGGATAGTGTTGAATAACTGCGCTCTGTGTTTTGCAGTCCTACCATGTTTCTACATTTACACTCAAGCCGAGTCATCCACTGGAAGCGGTCCATCCTCTGGAAGCGGTCCATCTCCGTCTGACATTGATCCCCAGGCAGGTGGTTGGCCAATTGGAGGAAATGAAGATCCCAGTAGTGGAGGTGAAGATGCCGGAGAGTTGTGGGGATCAGAAGAATATGAATATGATCAGGCTTTATACGCAGATAGAACGTATTTAAAATTCAAAAAAAAACTGGATTGCTTCCCCGAGCAATGTTTTAGGTACACTCTCTGTTCATCGTATAGCTAGGAACTGACTTGAAACTCAATTATAGGTTGTCAAATGTCTCTGGTGAAGGATTCTACAACCGCTCGTGATACATTGTACAATTTTTACATGTTTACTGTTCATGCTTGAGTTTTCCTGTGTAGGACGCATGGTTCACTATAGGTTTATAGCCAGAGTTCAACGTTGTCTGGATGGACTCTCATGGTATCAAAAGTATTCCGTGATTCTTGTGCTATGAGAGACTAAAAGTTTGTTCTGATCTTCCACTCTAGATACTCGTTTGACGGTGAACCTCTTTGGGCTATAGACGAACATACGGATGCGGCAAACTGTGCCGCTTGTGGAGGCCCTCGTGTTTTTGAAATGCAGTTGATGCCTCCTTTGCTGTACTATCTACAACAAGCCCACAAAGATTTGCCTCCTTCGATCTACGGGCCTGATGATTGGGACTGGCACACCATTTTGGTCTTTTCGTGTGCACAGGTGGATGCCCTCATCTTCTCTTTCATGATGTCTTTGGTTTTTGCTACTGGCAATGTCGTTTTCCCTACCCTCTTCATGAGTTTCCGAGAATTTGACACAGATACTTGTGTCATCTGATTCACAGAGCTGCGTACAGGAGGAATCACAGCAGCTAGTGGTTCTAGGAGAGAAGACAGATTGGAGTTTTATAGAGGAGGCCACTATGCTCCAGCAGGACTTGAGTGCTGCTTTCGTAACCTGACTTGCTACCTCTGTTGCTATTATAAAAAGAGAGCAGAGTTTCTTGAAGGGTATGCATGGTTTCAGACATCTGCGTACAACTGTGAAGAGAAGGTTAAAGTCGGGTTTTAAAATCTAACACCGCTTTGTACCATGTAGATGAAATCAAGCGATTTTTGAAGAGCATCTATTGAATCCTAATCTTCTCCACTTGTTGCATCTGTTTATCTGAATCACAGTGGCTTTACTCGGAATCAAATCTATCGTCGAGCCTCAACATTCACGAGATGTTTGGAATTCAGCTCATTTGTCTGTTCTGTAAAGCACGTTCTGGTCAAAGTTTCAACGTTCTTCGAGTATTTGTACATTTTAATCAGCATACACATAATATCCATCTCTCTGATGCATCTTCAGTCACGAACACGAACCGGTCCTATGCAAAGGTGGAAATGCCTGACAGTGGACCCAGGTACACGTCTTTATGTCTACGTCTTTCATCAAAAGAATACGGTGGAAGATTTCTATGACCTTGATTCACACGTCCAACAAAGAGTGCAATCTCCCCTGTAAGAAGAACGCGAGCGGCACCGCAATTAGGCAGCGATGTATTTTGCGTCAAGTTAGGAATTAAAGAGAGGTACGTTAAAGTATCTACGCGGCTGGAATCTTTTCCACCAAGTTGCGTTCTACATTCTTAAGGACTTGGCTTGTTTGATGTAGGTCGATGAAATTTCTTATGGACGAAGACAGAAACAATGTGTACTTTAAGTACGTCCGAAAACGTCGAGAAAAAACTATTAAAACTTGTGTAGAGAGAAGACTAAGCAAAATGTAACTGGGGAGTTCAGTTGGCCGTACAATTTGTGGACCACTCTCTCTGAGACGATCACCTGTTGTCCCGGAACTTTTCCATCTGTGTTTTGAAAGTCAATCCCGTAACATGCCTCTTCCAAAAAGGGACAAGGGACGCCCAAAATTTTGTAGAACATTAAATGGGTGTCAAATAACACAGTCAAATATAAAAAACTAAGAAATGTAAAGAAACAAGTAACTTGAAGGAGAAGTATATCTGTAATCTGAGATACTGAATTTAAAATGACGAGAAATATTTCTAACAGCTGAGGTACCGAACTTAAAATGATGAGAGATACATCCATATTCTAACGTACCATATTTAACATGGATTTGTCCAAGAAAGTTATTGTAAATTACAATTAATACTTTATTTAATTTCTGATTAAAACTAACATGTATAGTATTATTATATTTTGTAACTTATACTAACAATCGTTTGATTTAAATTATAAATGTTCAGAAACGATGAAATTGCTATCTACAACGACTCATGAAAACTAGCTTTTTTCTAAAATAATGTAACGTTATAATGGTACCTGTATTAGAAACGTCCGGATCATTGAAATCCGATTCAATTATATTTCGTAACATCCACACTTAGTAAAACGAAAAAATAAATTATGTAGTGGAGTAATCAGCAACATCTAAGGCGCGGCCCACGTCCATCGAGTTGACCTGTCGATCGGGTTCAATCCGTGGAGAAGGAGAACTGGTTCGAGGGGAATGCACTGTCCTCACTGAACCTGTTCCGGACGGGCAGTTAACGTGCAGCCGGAAAGTTCTGCGGCCTGATGCGCTACTTGGCCAATCGAAGAGTCGTCTGTCGAGTTGTTGATCTGACGGCTACCGATCTTCCCTTCCGGTCGCTATTGCGAGGAAATCGAATTGGCTGCGCGGCCGAAAGCCCAAAGGTGGGGAGCATTGTTGCTTGCGAGATCGGCAGCAGGACTCTTCGCTCTTGAAAATTAGCAGAGATCGTTCTCCGCTCGAAATTCTTACGCCACCTGCATTTGCTTTGTTGAGATCAAGATGTTTCTTGGAGGACTCCCACGCCGACCTGACAAAGCAGTGGCTTACAGCCAGCTCAAGCAGCACCTCACCATTCTTGGTGTCTGGATTGCTGCCATCCGCGCAGCTCCCTTTGTGTTGCATATTCTCACCAAGGAATCGGGGAGCATGGACCTCAGCCTGGATGACTAAAAGATGATGAGGCGCCGGAGCAGTCACAACAGCGTCGATCGTCCGGCTTGGTCGACATCAAATAATCGAAATGAGTGGACTCTATTAGGTTATTCCCCTATGTCTCAACTATGATCTCTCCGTATCGAATGGGATCGGTGTCGTGTCGTTCGACATGGTCGGGCTGATAGGCGTCTGAAAGCGGATGCATTTTATTTCGTTTTCTTCCACCCTAGAGCAGTAGTATTACGGTAATTTTGTAGTTTTCACATTTTCAATTGATACTACCCAGTCAGTCTTCACACTTCAGGATCATTTTGTCGAAACCTCAATGACAGTGTAGGTCTTTCTCCATGCAATTGTTCTCGGTTTGGTCAAGATGCAGAGATAGGTCTAGCCGAAATGGTCGATAGCACTGTTTCGGTTATGTACTTTGATTGCCCACATCTTGACGAGCATGTGTATGAGCTATCGGCTAGAAATTCAATTGTGTTATTCTGCATCTGAATCACCAGAAGCTCTTTGCATGCATACAATTTAACGCCCTCTATTTTGTGTCCAGAAGCTTCAGGGACTATGTCTGTCTATGTACTGAGCTGAACGTGACAGTGTCGTATAGACTTGTTACTTATCGGACAAGGTGTTGACGTTTAATAGAAATATCATGGGTTTAAACGTGTTCTTTAAAAGTTGGTTCAAACTTCTGTGTCGTCACCAACGTTGTATGTGAACGGGCGTGTCGTCGCAGAACACTCGTCATCAAAAGTATCTGATGAATATTGCCTGTCCTCGTTATAAGCGAGGACGACTTTTCCGTCTTTTGAATATTTCTGGACTCGTCGATGTCAAATGTCACCCGCCCAGTCAAGTAAGTTGTCGTTGCTGATTGTTTGCCACCCATGGTGATTTCATCATTTACAGGTGGACAGGCAGGAAATCTTCTGTGGGCCGCTGGGTTGTTTTTTTCTCATCTTGAAGGACATGGTCATGAATTGTTGCATGAGAATTGCAGTCTTGTATCCCCCGCCCAGTTGTGGTATAGGCCAAGGAGTTCGGAGTTTCCACCTCTCTCCTGTATCTTAAAGAAGTTGGAAACTAGACGGCAATCCTATGCTATGCAATTCCAGACGGAGATTTTCTGTCGACCGCTTTTTGTCTTTCGAGATCAAAGTGGGCGTATGTGAGTGAAATCGTCTTCTTTCGTACTTGGGAAGCTCGTCCTCTGGCTTTTATGAGAGTGGAAAGTTGGTAGCCAACAGTGCATGCGTTGCTCCAGTTTTACAACTTGCATTTGCATCAGAGAATCTTGTAATTGCCCACCTGTTCTATCTGATGACTTTAATATCACAGATCGAGCTACTGGCCTTGAAAATGCTTTCCAACGAACATTGGAGAATTGGCGACTTGGTCACGAAACTGCTCAAAAGTGATTGCATATTGAGGAAATCTTCAATATTTCTGGCTTCGTGAAAAACGATTCTCTTTTGCAACCGACAATGTTATACTGATACATCTGTCATCGTAAATCACTATTTGAGTATTGATGATCGTCTTTCTGTCAAACATTTCGACCACTTCCGTAACCGTGTGGAAAGTGATCAAAGTCGTCACACTTCACACCTTTTAACGCTGCTCTTGTTCACACCTTTTAACGCTGCTCTTGTGGCGTGCCTGCGTCCTTAGAAAATGTATCGATGCGTTGATGGGTCCTCCATTGGCAGGAATATTATCGGAGATACTTGGCGATTTGGTAGGGTCTTCGAAGACTTGTGATATCATCTACCTAGAAGATTTGCAGGACACCGTTGTAAACTGTGAAGTCCTTCGCCTTCATATCCAGACCACATGAGTTTTTCTTGAAGTCACGGGATCATCATCTATGTATATTTAAATATGTTTTTCACATGTCATGAACATAATCTTTCATCTATGGATTAGTCTATTTTGAAAAGAGATTCTGATAGACATGCAACAATATAATGTACTTCTGGAAACGATTTAATACTTTGATAATGCAATGCAAATGGAATGAGATTATACATGGCTTTCCATCATTGGTTCGCAAATCATTTGCAAGAGACAAAAGGTCTAGGAAATTAGTTGCAATTGTTCGCAAATCATTTGCAAGAGACTAAAGGTCTAGGAAATTAGTTGCAATTGGTTTGAACCATGTGTTGAGTAGAGTATCTCTATCAAATTTTGAACCAATGAGTATAGCATGTCAGCGTTCATTCACCCCAAGAGTCCCAGTTTCCTCATTGTGGTATATTTTTGTCCATTGGAAGTGCATCTTATGTTTAAAGTATGGTTATATTAACATGTCGTGGGTTTCAGATGAAGGTAGGATGATGCGAATTACTTCTTCAGATATCCCATCGTGACATTATTTGGTTTGTGTATTAGATTTGTAGAAACAACGGGACTTTAATTTAAAACTACATTGAAAAAGAATTTGAATTCCAATCAATTTTCAACTACATTGAATGTGAATGAAAAATGAATGTGATTAACCTCTCGGTCTGGATCATGGAAGAGCAAAAACCTCTAATGCAACATTAAGAAAACATTTGAAACAACATATACTTGATTTTTATTTTAAAAAATTAGAGATTTATCGAATTCATAAATTATACAGAATTTTATTTTTTATATTCTAAATTTTATTGTAATAGATTCTATAAATATTTTTATATGGTAAAAGTTAATATGTTTCATTTAAGCAGAATCTATTGAAAATAATTAACCAAATTAAGACTTTTAATATAAATACAAACACCTGTGAATTATTATTAGGGTCCCATCCTGTTGATTTGCTTCTCCCCACACTCTCCCCTTTCCCCAACACTTTTCTACTCTTCCCCGGGGTGTACCAAACGCCTCGCCCTGGTCCCCACTTAGAGATGGGCATAGGTTGGCTTATGGCCAGCCAGCTAGAATTTTTTATTAGCCGGCTAGCCGTAAGCTCACCGGCTTAATCGATGAGTAATAGAATATGGAGAATCATTTCTTTTGATATTCTGGATAGAGAATTTCCAAATCTCAACATAGAAGTGTGTTCAAATGTACAGATGGATCTATACACATGTATCATAGTTTCTGCTCAAAAGTTTAATGAATCTTCATGAATTTGGGTCTTAGCAGGAGAATGGGAGCGAACTGTGGTTCGTGTCGAGCCATTCTTGATGCGAAGCTGGTTTGATGATTTACTTTGCGAAGTCTTGTTACCTGTGGACGCTGCATTGCGAAGCACTTTGGATCCTGAATATTAAAAAAAATTCACTAATTCATTAAGTGTATAACAAATTGAACAAAAATTAAACATAAACTATACTTCACAAAACAGCTAGATGACAAATTGAAGAAACTTAATCACACATTACATTCAGTTTTTTCATATTTTTTAACGCATCAGTACAAGATTCTTGAAACCTGAATAATTCACAGGGCTGTTTTATTAATTTAATTAAATATTAAATATATTAATAATATTTTAAATTTAATTAAACAGTCTATTCCATGATTGCAACTTCATGGTAGTTTTGATAGGAGTGTTGCACAAACAGTTTCGCTCTGCGGTGGCAGTTGCACAGTTATCTGAAAATACAAATTTGGATGGCACTGAAGACCCCATGTACATTAAAGTGTCGGGTGCTACAAATGACAATCGCGGAAAAAGCTTGCGTTTAATTCTGGCCCACCAGACTACTGCATTGTCGCATGATTCATCTCCCGTTTTGATGAACTTCAAAAAATTTGTGATTTCTTTGGATACATCATCTTGCTCACTGTGCATTCAAACATCGGAGCTCGTGTTTTACGTACAGCAATAAGCATACGTTGGTTGCTGTTTTTCAAAGTGGAAGAGGAAGCATGTTCATGTGTAGCTTCAATATCATATTGTTGTTGAAGACTTTCTCGAAGTAGTGTCGTAAGAGATCATATTTCTTCGTCCGTCTTTGGAACCGTAAGATAAAATGCTAGTGCTAACATTGTTAGTAGTTCAGTCAAATGTTCATGATATATTTCCAGTTTTATCATCATTGCTCTTGCAACATCCTTAGATTCCGGTGCAGTGAAACTAGAATTAATCATACGGTTGATGCTTTCTTGGCAATGTGTCTTCAAAGATTCATAAACCAAACATTGATTTAATAAGGTTGCATATCGTCCGTTAGATAAAATGTTCATTTCATAAGTGGGAGCAAGAAAATCTTTGAAGCACTTCAATACCCTTATTCAATTGAAATCAAAGTTACAATCTTACTATAGTGCTTGAATATGTTTGATAGAGATTGAAAGGTCTCCGTGAAACTATAGGACAAACCAATCATTTTAAACATGGTGTTCCACCTATTATTCACATCAAGTCTAGTAACTTCATTTGTCTCGTGTTCTAGCGCCCCTAGAAGAACTTGGAACTTCTTGAAATCAACTCTCATTTGAAATGATAAGCGAATCGACTTCAACATTGAGCAAAGTTTTTCCACCTTGGCTTTGAAATTTGTTTCATTTTCAATCACAGCACAATGCATAATATGACACTCAAAAAAGATGCCATCTATATTCTAGATTAACATCAAATTTATTTTTCAGTTTTTTTTTCTAGATTCTGAAAAGCAGGAATCATTTAACTAGCATTGTAAGTTGTTGTAGCTATAATCTTCATGTGCACATTTGTGCACGTGATACTATATATTTCAAAATAATCACCATTGTGGATCATTGATCATGAGTTGGTGAAAAATATTAAAAGTCAAGAATGCATTCACGCAAGGTCCAAGTATCATCAATCCAATGAAGCGTAATCACAAAATAACTTCACAAAGTTTTGGTGTACTATCATCACAAGTAATTGTAATCCTTCCTATAATAGCTTCTACAATATCACAAAATTGTTTGGTTGTAGTAATCATCTTGTATGATATGGCATCAGTAAGACTTCTGCGCGAATAGTTAGACCAAAATCGATTTAGTGCGTTCTTCATTCGTCTGAAGTAAGTTGATTCAACTAAAGAAAAACTTTACTTCGTGTCAATCATCCAATCTATCATACTCGTCATGATCTAAGCCTTCGCCTCGTCATCTACAATGTTATGCACTTCCAAATATGAATCAAATTTTGAAGAGGTAGTTTGGGAATGATCATCTAGCAATGCGTTTCAAGTGATTCACAAGTTATGAAATGATTGTTTCTAAAATGTAGTACAAGATTTGAGGTTGCCAAAGTGGGTGAATAACTTCTCAAGGAGAATTTGCTCACAATGCAAGCAAGTCTATTGGATCCGAGTACAAGTACAAAGTACAGATGATCCAAGATGTGCGCTTTTGTCTTTTTGTGCGGCGATCACTGGAAGATAATGCCAATGAAGATAATAGTAGAATAGCAAATTCATCATTTTTGAAGTCTTTGTTTCACTCTATAACACCATCAAATCTTCTTGTAATGTGCGATTTGCTCGTGTATGTAAATGCACATCTTGTTATTTCTTTCTACCTATTCGTTGTTTTTGCCATCAAATTTCTAGTATGCAAGAACATATTTGTATTGTTTCCATTGAACAAGAAATACTGAAGCATAAAACATGGAGAAAATTTCTCATTCGCAAAGAGAGTTGAAACTAGAAGACAAGTGTATGAAATTTGGAATATGTGACAAATCCTTTAGCCAACAGCTAGCCGGCTAGCCATAATTCAGTCGGCTACATGTTCATCACTATTCCCACCTTTTACAATTACATCATATGGGATGAAATGTTCGACAACATGCTGTGCGCACGCAACGTTCAAGACATTTACATTGTCATAAATGGAGTCGGGAAGGTGGTTCATCGCTTGGCAGTACAAGTAACAGGGAATTAGAAGAGCAAATACGAAGCTATTGAGAATTAGAGGAATCGTGGAAAGAAAGAGGTTGGGAAAAGCAATTCAACATAGAAGGAGTATCATACCCTTATTAATACCTGACACAAGTTGAAGAGTAGAGACAGTCAAATAAATAAATTAATGAAGCAAATGATTCATTGTTTGTTAACATAATAAGAAATATGTTGTAGATTTTGCACGTCAGACAAATTTTCATTTTGGAAAGAATAGATACTAAGATATCAAGGTATTGTCGTAGGTACTAGCGCTATCTAACAATTGGCAAAATAGTCTTGTAGCTTGAGAACATGAGAAAGTGCATCATCATACTCCTTTGTTTCAGTTTGCTCATAATCAACAATGTCTCGTGTTCTTCACTGCTAAAATCTTTAGATCACGGCTCCATCCCAGAAAGTTCAATTTCTGAAAAAAATCTTCTTTGGATATCATCAATTTCATGTCGGCTGGTACTGGACTTTGTTCTAGATGTTCATCTCAGCATTCATTTGCCACCTAAATTTACTATAACTCCAAACAGCTGCACAGGATAGATTGTTGAAAAATTGATTCCATATGCTTATGTATTGAGTAAAATTGACTTCAAAGTCAGAATTGAACTCATACTTAAATAAAGTTTGAAGTCAAACTCTACTTGTGAATATGACAAAATCTTGCGGATGAATTTTACTAATCTCTCTCCCAAGCAATGAATCAAGAAGTAAAATGGTATGATTTCAATCATGTTTTGTTTAAGTTTTGTTAGTTAGAATAATTAGCTTTTGTTACATAAAAAAAGGAGTAGAAGTGATCTCACACATTAGGATTTGAATAAAGACACTTGTGTTCTCATGGATGTAATTTGAGAGAGAGATAAACCATGTAATTTCTTTTTGGCCCTGGTTGTATATGGGTTCATGTGTAATACTTGGTGCAATCCAATAATTTAAAGAATTTCCGTTGGAAGTAATGTGGAAAAATTGGTAGATGAAATCAATTCAAATCTAGAATTTAGTATACTTCGAAGATTGATGAAAATACTCTTGGAATGAATTTTTTTTGTTAGAAACGTTTAGATATAATTTGTTAGTCCAAATCAATATTCTTTGAGAAATTCAATGTTTTTATAAAGAGCAATTTTTAAAATTTTAAAGAAAAAAGTATTCCTTGAATTAGATTGTAATTGATTTAAATTTTTTACACACCATGTATTGTGGACTGTTTCGACCTCTAAGGAGGCCTACAGCGGAATCAGAGAAAGCGAAATAAGAGTAGAGGCTGGCTTACTGGGAATTTCGGTCGAGTTTCGTGTGAGATAAACTAATAGCAAACCTCGAGGCTGGCTATGTTTGAGCCGAGAAATTGACGATGGACCCCAGAAACTCAAAGGGCAAGAGATAAAGGTGGATCTATTGTGGATGTTCCTGTAGGAAAGGGTATATTTATTGAAAATTATAGAACATTAATGAACATGATGTAATAAATACCCATAGCAGTTACTAAAATTATTATTTTATAAATAAATTACTTAATAGAATAATCAATATATATTCCAGTATTATACTTCTAGATCACACTTTCGATATTTTACATTTGATATATGTAAACTTAAAGTATGAGCGTAGAAATCGAAATGGACTATACTACGGAGTCAGGAATGTACATGTACGTCAACTGCAACAGATAGATGCGTGTTGTAAACATAAGCTCGCATGATCCAGGAAAGGACAGCGAGAGTATTTGCACGTAAAGCTTTTGCTATAAATTGATGGATCAGTACATAGCTCATTTTCAAATGTGACAGATTTGATAGACTAGATTTCAGGAAGACATAGTAGTGCACTATTCGTGACAATATTAGGTTAGGATTGTAAATGCCCTCACATTTGTTCTTCTGATTCAGACGCCTTACTTTTCAATTTCTTATATAAATTAACGAAGTATCAATGCTCAGGGGTTTCGGAGATCCCACGGGACACACCTTAAGGACCAGTTCACCACTAAACCTGTCGTGATCTTTTCCTTGTAAAATATTTTTTCTTGGTTGTATCTCAATGCGGCCTTGTGCATATAAATCAATATCACCTTGTAGATCAGGGGTGATGAGGAGAAGATTATGAAACTGCGGTAGAGTCCTTGAGAGGTCATTATCTTTCTTCATCCACTCCTTTGCACAACAAATCTTCGTATAGTTCCTGAGACGGAGGATGTGGGTGAGACATCAAGACCATTTACCAGATACATCACTTTCTCTGTCATCGTTGGATGGACAATTATTTGCGCAAAACTAGGAAGAAATTCGGGAAGTTGGCAGGTAGTGTATGTTTATCAAAGGGCCGAAGATTGAGAGGCAGAGAACGGGTGGGCCACCGTCCTGTGATGAGTTTCGAGTCTTACTCACCTATTCACTTTGGCTTTGATTTGCGGGGATTTCGGTTGCTTCTTTAGGGGTTGGTCGAGATGGTTTTGCTGGACTAGACGGGGAGAAGGTCGAGTTTTGAAGCCTCATCATGCTTGTTCAGCGAGACCATTGCACCTGAAGAGTGCTAGTCTGCGAGGAATCATCTCATGACGCATGTGCGGACTTCATGATGTGGTAGTCGAGAGTTCTGAGAAGTGACTAGTTTCGAGATTCCGTGTGTTTAGGTGAAGGACTAGATGGGAAGAACACTCACGTTTGGCAGACTTTACCCTCCATAGGAAAGACCAATGTCAACGAGAAAATTCACATCTGTAGTTAGGAGGCAATGATGACATCGTGACTTCTACGTAAACGATCAGTGTGATATGCGGACATGTGATACTCCATGTTATATGCTGACAACCTGGCAGCTTTAGAAGCCACAAGTCATCTGCATCTGTCAAAACTGGAATTTCGAGTTCTTGCGGCAAACCCAAGGTCTTGGGAAAGAGGAGTGCTGCTTTAGGTTAGACCCGAGTAGATTTCAATCAGGTCTTCTGAAGGTCTTCGGAGCCTTGAACTAAAGTTCAAGGCTCGCCCATCAGATTTCTTCTCAGCAAGCCCTGGTCCAAGTCGATCCGTGAAGTGGGATCATCAGATACAACATACAATCCAATTTTCCTGAGCTTGAGTTTCTCAGGGTGGGCTGGACTTAATCCTTCCGAACCGAATGTCTAAATCTTCCATCTTTTGTAGTCTTCGTCATGAATCCTGGTGGACTTCTCAGTCACCGTGTAAGCATGGCTTACACGGTGACTGAGAAGCTCGGATTCTTCCACACTTGAATGTGCACCACCAATTCACTGTGTCGTGAGGGTTCGCAATCGCAATCGCAATCGAAACATTACTCACGCCACAGTCCAAGTTCATGATTCCCGTCTAGGTCACCGGCGTTGTCGTGCAGCCGTTGACATGGACATCTGCGTACCGACCAAACCCGGAAGCCAGCCCAACGTACACGGCCGATCTCAACCACCCGGTGCTGCAGGATGCTGCACTGCCTCAGAAAAAACAACGCGCATGATCGAACCTGCCCTTCCCTTCCTTCTTCTTCACTGCGCACTTGATGGCAGAAACGATAATCTCACGTCTCCAAACAAATTCCGCAAGTTCAACCTGCACTTCAATGTCTCGGACGAATCCCGAAAAGGCACTGCAAAGAAGCAAATCACAAACGAGCGCGGGGCGTTCCTCGCGCCTGTCAGAGCGGCGTACTCGGTGTCGCTCTGGCCGTTGAATGCGTTACGGCGCGACGACGGAGAAGAGCCACCACGTACAGATGTACGAACAAACTGTACAACCACCATGGTCGTGGTCAGAAGGACTGACTGACTGTGATCTGAACTGTGCTCCCATACGACGGCGCTGGAGCTATACGTGGTGCATGGAAGAAGCAGACCCTCCGGAAACCTCTTTACGAAAGGGAGAGCGGCTGCTAACCAGGTGGGCCTGTGAGAGATCTTGGAGGCTGGAGCGTCGTGGTGCCATGGCCATGGTGGTGCCCATCCGCGGCCCGCGGCCCCGCGCCTGGACAGATGTATGAAAGCCAGAAGGGGGCGCGGCCCGGTGGCAGTCCAGCGGCTCGAGACTCGAGTCCTGCGGGGAGCTGATCGCAGGATTCAGTGGAAAGAAGAGCTTTCGGGGAAGAGAATCAAGAAGAAGGTCGGAGAGCGAGCGAGGGTGGCGATTGTTGAGAGGGAGAGGTGACAGATCGAGAGAGAGAGAGAAAGAGGGAGGGAGGGAGGCGATGATGGAGGGAGCATCGGCCGAGTATGTGGTGCTGTTGGCCTTGGCAGCGCTGGGGTTCGTGTACGTGTTGCGGCAGGTGTTCATGTTTGTGAAGTGGACATGGCAGACGCTTTTGAGGCCGGGCAAAAAGCTGTCCAAGTATGGATCATGGGCTCTGGTCACGGGTGCCACGGATGGCATCGGGCGTGCGTGCTGCATGCGCTTGGCCCAGGAGAAGATCAATGTGATTGTGGTCGGGCGATCGCCCTCCAAGGTGCAGGAAGTGGTGAAAGAGCTGGAGAGTAAGAACGTGCAGGTGCGCTCGGCGGTGGTGGATTTCACCGAGGAAGACCTGAACGCGGGATTGGCAAGAATCGAGAGCGCCATCGCTGGCCTGGATGTGGGCATTCTGGTGAACAGCGTCGGGCTTTCGTACCCGTACGCCAAGTTCTTCCATGAAGTCGATGCCCAGCTGACCAGAAATTTGATCAGAGTCAACGTCGAGGTTACTACCCGCATGGTGCAAATGGTTTTGCCCGACATGTTGAAACGTCGGAAGGGGGCCATCATCAACGTTGGATCGGGGGCCGCGTCTATTCTGCCATCAGATCCTCTCTACGCCCTCTATGCTGCGTCCAAAGCGTATGTCCTTCCTTTCTTCCATTTTTCCAGACTGCAGTCACTCTTCTCATCCTGTGTGTAGATTGTCCGGTTTTATGGATTACTGTCTTCTTGCTTCACGGTATTTGAATCTTGAATGGAATGCTTCGCTGGTACAACGTGGTAGGTTAGCAACGCTTAGCACACTTGTTCGTCCTCGAAAAATTGATGGGGTCTTAGCTCAAAGAGCCATCTTTGTACCGTCTGAAATCTGCGGTGTGCACCTGTTGTGAAATTCCTCATGTCGACTAGAGTTTTGTTTGAGTACATTCTTCGATCTTCTTCAGGGAAGACCTGGTTTCTCAGCTGCTGTAAAGAAGTGATCTTGAAAGCAAAGGGAGCTTCATCAAAACTCATATTCCATCTAATCTGTATATTACCAGTTGACCAACAGATTGTGATAAAGTTTAAAGGTCCAAACCAAATGTCATTCTTACGGACAGTTGCACTGTAATTGGAAGCTTAGATAGCAGCAGATATCCCCGTCAAGTTTGTACATTCTGTTCTCCTCTGAGCTCAGTGTTTTTCACCTTTTGTGATTAATGTCGTGGGACACCCTCTCTTCCATACCATCCAAGCGACTTTAGTCTGTAAAGAAGTCGGCACGTATGAAGTCCTTCCGGGTCTACAGCTGAACGGTACTTAAGTGATTAGCTTCCCTTGAATGTGCTGGATTTTTTTAGTCATGAATTAATCCGAACTCTATGGTCCTGGCAGTTTTGTCGATCAGCTCTCTCGGTCTCTATACGTCGAGTATAAGCACAGCGGTATCGACGTCCAGTGCCAGGTACTTTTATTTTTGGAGTTGGTTCGCCTTGCCTTTGAATTGTTCGATTCGTTCTACTCTCTCTGCCAAGTAGGGCCTGTTGTGCATGTGGTCTTTCCAGGCTCATATCGCTTTGAAATTTGTCTTGGTTATATTGTCTAACTGGCTGCATGGTACTTGGATTCAGGTGCCTCTATACGTGGCCACAAAGATGTCAAAGATAAGAAGAGCTTCATTGGCCGTTCCATCTGCAGACACCTACGCCAAATGTTCTCTCAAATGGATCGGGTTTGAACCTAGATGCACCCCTTACTGGGTGCACTCGATCATGTGGTGGATCATCTGGGTACTGCCTGAGTCTATCATCGACACTATCCGCCTCCGTAGTAGCCTGGATGTCCGAAGACGAGGTCAAAGTAAAGATTCCCGTGGCAAAAAAGAGTAGAGAAACCATCTTGTGGATTTTGGAGTTTACTTCATGGGAGTACTTCGGTAGTTAAGGTACTGCCACCGGGAGTCCAAAGAAAGCAAGGAAGTAGCAGATGGATGCCCTCCCAGTGTAACAGGCAGGGTAATTTTCCTGGCGATGAAGCTTTCTCTTCTAGTAGTTTAGGTCTTCTTGACGCCATGTCCATTTGTAACCTGGCACCGTTCATTCCCCGCTTGCGAAGCGATATTGCAAATTGGTCTCGTCCATTCTCCAGACCCTTGCCGTTTTCATATCGTGCCCAGTCGAAACAGAAGAACTAACGGGTTCGGCACTTTGGGGAACTCTTTGATCTCTTGACATTCTCATGCGAACGATGCGCTCCTTGGATTCTGCGAAGTGGCCGTCTCGCTAGAGAGATATACTCACATTGAGTGTACATCTCGGGAGAAGCTTGCTAAGAGAGCACATTATTGAATACGAGTTTGCAGCATAATCGTGCAGCAGTTAGTTGTTACTCTGCATTGTAGTCATCGTTATGTATTGTCGACTATGTCCACGACTGTCTGCACAAGTGTGCTAGTGAACGAGCAATCAACCTCACACTCGATATTAGCACTGTCCACAGATGAAGTCGAATAACATAAACCTCCATCTTATCCGAAAAGATGGAGGTTATGCATATGCGGTAAAGGAGCTTCATACTAGTGTTTAGTGTGAATTTGATGGAAAATTTACGTTGGAAATTAGATGTATCACACGAGTTGGCTTTGAGCCTCGTCAAACAGCGTTTCAGGGCCAATCTGTAATTTGTACAGTGGGTGGGGAGATGAAGTGCAATATCCTAGGGAATCAAATGCCGAATCAACTAACGTATCTAAACGCGCATCTCGAGCTTCTATCAATTCTCTCATATCAGGAAAAAAACTTTCATTCCCAAATAGCCAGTGCAGACTATCGATACGAAGCCAAATATTTCGGACCTTACCAACGCTGCATGGCCGAAAACGTCTGATTCTTCTGATTGGGGAGAGTTTTCAACATTGCCCATGTTTTCCAAGTCCGAAACAAATCTAAACATAACATCACAGCAGTTTGGAGCTGGCTTTGTGAACGATGGGTTTATAAGAATAGGCCTGGATATGATTAGGAAAATGTTATAATGACACCACATACGCGTCTCCAAGTATTCAATTTTTTGCACACAAGCCAAAGTATGTCTCCAAAGATTTGATGTTCCCGGTGGAGGACTTCAAAATGAGATTGTGAGTATGTTGGTCAATATTTCTTCGCAGAGCAACTGTCAACTATCACAGTGTATTTTTGCAGATGAAGGAGTGGAAACCAAAAACAGAGCAACGGTATCCATGGAAGATATTACATAGGCCCATGGAACTACCACGGTGATTTTTTGCATATAAAAGAGGGGAAACCAAAAACATTTTCGCAGTTAATGCCTGGGCTTGTGTGGGTAAAACTTCGTTTTTAACAGGTCATGTTAATATGCGTATGTGGTCATTTTCACAATTTATGTGATAGTTTTAACATCCACCTATAATTGACGTATGATATAATAAATCTGAAGAGCATTCGGCTCTCGACTCAAGCAAAGCAAGACGTGTATTAAAGAAATCTCCTTTTCTTTCGAATAATCCAGATTAGCTGTTTAGACTAAAGCCTACAGTTACTACGGATATACCACATCTTGATTCATTCTGTCTCTTTAATATGCAGATTTTTAGCCTGACTAGAGGAATTACTATCTGTCATTTACAAGATCAGCTCCAAATTGCTGTGTGGGCAGTGGACAAATCAGATGGATTTCGTTGATCCTTCTTTACAATTGTAAGGAAATATATTGTTATCCAAATAATAAATCAGAGTCGCTTACGTTGTAGGGTCTAGGGAATAGTGCTTCTGATTCTCACTCTTTTCTATAAATATACAGTAACAAAACTCGTACGATGTCGAGAATAATGCGCCATTGAGGCTAAATGATACGAAAATGTTTTCCGGTGGAGATATATGCCACAAGATATTGTAGGATAGCTTTTTTACATCTTATAGTAAATGAACCAAGGAATTGGTCCGAGACAATTAACACCTGCAAAGAAGATATTGGCGAAAGTGTGTAGTACAAGGTGTCCAGTAACATTGCCTCCTCTAAACTGCCCTTTACAAAACTTGGTCTTTCGAGTGTTTTTCTCCGGATGTTGTCCAGAACAATGTAAACACAAACCAGAGTTGTACGGAAAAATTACAATATTACCACGTCATATTAACAGTTCAATCTAATGGAGTGGATTCCTAGCAGTGGCTTGTACCAGTAAAACGACCTCGGCACTATATTCAAGTTTCGGATATTAGGTATACGTCATTACCACAGGAAAAGTAAATTACCCCGCAACTTGCTTACCAGCGGCTACATACACCTCTGTTCATGCAGAATTTGGAACCACGACCTGGATAACAGAAGTTACTCTCAAACATGCAGGATATACTCTCAAACCACCACACGCAGAGGAGCAAAACCCGTTCTACCATGTTCGACTGTCCTCATTTCCAATGGAACACTGGGAACTGCCGAGACAATCACCCCACACCAAAATACATAGGCAACCATCGTCTGCTGCTACGGGACTGAGTGACATCTAGGATCGCAACAGGACTACATATTTGACGTATCAAGTAGAGTGAGCGTGAATTTATACGTTTCAGTCAGGGTCTTTAACAAGAAAATCTGCACGCGAATCCTTATCGAAACAAAACTTTTAAGTTTTACTGTGCCACCCTGAGATGAAACCGTTCACACAAAATCCTGAGCTCCAGAAAATGAAGATCGTTGCAGGTAGATGGTTTACAATTCTACGTTTGCTACATCAGCTTCCCACTTGCACAGTTTCTTTTTGCAGGTCCGACTGGCCAAGAGAAATCTTGAATGAAAGTTTGGACTCAGATGATCTAGCAAACTCATTTCTCAAGTGCCACCTTGATTAAACGTGTGCGAGAAGTGCTTTGCACCTGAAGATAATCATAGAGACTGAAGAGTCTTCACCTTATGTAGTCTTCAGTGAAGACTACATAAGGTGAACAAGTTTGTATATAAACCATTTGAGAAAGCATTTGATCAACCAGATAGCCTTTGCATCTCATAGTAACTCATGGCCCAAAGATCTGAAAATAAAACTGTACAACAACACATGTATGTGATTTTCTTGCCTGCAAATTCGTACTGTCTTGAACCAGCTCATCTCCGTAAACACATCAGAAAGAATGAAAGACGAATTAACTTGTGGCAGTGACCGCTTAGCGGTAACTTGTAAAGTGGTTGCTAGTCACACCATCTATTCCCGTAACTTTTAGGCACCATCCGGTTAAACACTCCGTCCACAACAAGGTGACATTAAGTAGTTTGTCACTTAACTGCAAAATTTCGTAGCCGCAACCATTACATTCTGCTAGTATGCTTTCTTCCCTTTGACAACCTCTTGCTGTTGATGCATGACGGTTGATAACTTGTTCAGCTCGTACAGTAGTCCCATGGAGAACAAAAGACTGCACGTCGAAAGCCACTGTCGTTAGCAGCTTTGCAACATGGGCTTTAAGTGTTACATGTCCATAACAAGATATCACTTTTCAAAAGCCATACAAGTATCCTAGGACAGGAAAGGCAAAGCCTGAGGCGAACGCTTCAGGCTTTGGGCTTCAGGCGTTCGCCTCGGTCCCCTAGACCTTATTCTAGCCTCCTATGTAGCTCAGAGAACTAGCGCTCTTCATTAGATATATCACACTGGTTGCGTTAGATTTCAGTATGTCTAGAACTTCTAAATATTATATTTTGTTTCTAGTTGTTACTCTGTACTCCGGTTTCTACATGTTTCCTGACAAAATCTTTACTTTTTCTTCACAAAAATGCAGAGAAGTGTGGAATCGAAACTTACCAGGTTGTTACACACACTCTGTGCACAGCACCAGCTGCAACGGCAGCAATGAACTGTGCAAATATCACTGCAAAATCGAAAATCTTTACATAAGACAAAACATAGACCACTCGGATTATACTCTGTACAATATCTCATCGATACAACGAAACAGATCTACGAAGGAGGACAGAGAGAATGTAAATGTGCAGGCTTCTATGTAGAAAACGCAGCTTATATTTCCTGTATTGGGGGAACTTCAGATGCCTCCACGACTGGCTTCATGAGTAACTTGAATCTAAAAGACTCGGCAATCACTATTGGACAGTTGGACGACAGTGAGGTGCAGTGCAAACATAAATCAGCGTGATCCTTCAGTCTTACCTGCGCCCCACCCCGTCCTCGTACCAATAGACTCCTGAATGTTGCCTATGAACTACACAAAAAAACGAGAAACAAACTGTATGTCAGTCCTCCAGGAAGATAGTGTGTGATCCGCAAGAACCTAAACTTGGTTGACGAGCCATAAAACCCAAGACAATAACACCTTACAGAAAACGTAATTAAGTGAATAATTTGCTCTGCCAATCTCAAAGATAATTACCGTCAAGACGAGCAGAAATAATAAGGAGCTGACAAATCCACCAAGTATGGTGAAAACTTCTGTCGATGCCAGTTTCTCCTTGTAAACTTGTTGTAAGGACAAAGTGATGACAAAGAGCAAAAAAGAGTACAATGCGGAGTTTGCAGTGCTCGTCAGGTGATTTCGTGCCGCTGCAGCCGAGCAAAAGATAATACAACTTTCAATTCAGAATATAACATCAACTTCGAATTTTTGAACTATAATGATACGGTCTGGAGCAGGAACGGATGTAGATCCAGAAATATGTGCACAGATCAAATACATGTGCATGAAAAGTGCACATATATTTCATGTGCATGATATGTCTGTCTCGCGTGAACAAGATTGACAACTGCTCCATGCTGCCCACTGCCACCTACGGGTCGAGTCCCGTGAGTGAAAAGTGATCTAGCTTTTTATCAAATCTCTGACCTCTTCATCCATTACACAATCAACAAAACGCAGATTCATTGGGTCTGACCTACTTTCCAAGAGTTTATTACTCAGCATCCTGCCCAGATCTGACGCATTATAATACGTCGCAATCTTTGCTGAACCGTCACTCTCCATAGTGGGCTGTTAAACTGCGACGATCATGCATCATAATCCCAAGACTCTCAAACAACTAAGTTCTTGGATTTCACAATCGGCGTCCTTCGGTAGAAATGCACTCAGAAACGTCATTCATAAACACAACGTTGCTTGATCTATGAAAACGACAGGACGCATTGCTTCGCATTTTGAAAAGAGAATAGATGAAATAGGCGACAGATATTCAGCGCCGGTGCTAAGATCTCACTCCGGCCAACATCACCCTTCTGAGGAGACTAACACTTTCGCCCCCGTCACCTTAGAAAACAATCCAAAACCCTCAGCCCCGACATGAACACAAGCACGAAAGAAAACTCATACCTGCCATCGCTGCGATTGCGCTTCCGGATGGATCAGCCTCTCATAAATCAGAAGCTGGAGGCGAAATGAACAATAACGATTTGACTCGACTTCTGGAACGCTTCCCCCTTGAGCCTCGGCCTCTTTGATCCAATTCACGAATCGCCGTCCTCCTTCAACTCGACTGCGTAGTTGTTGCTAACCACGTGAAAGAACTCCGCAGCTTCGTCTGCAGTTCTACATTTTCAGTCTTTCATCGGAGTTTGCATCCCTTTCGCAATTCAACTGTTTCCCACCTTGATTGACTGTTGTTTGAAGATGGAAAGGGAAACAAGTAAGTGACTCAAAAGGAATGCTACTTCTCTACCATGATTTCTTTTCAAAACAGAACAATAATATCGCAATATTATATCTATTCAAGTAATCTAATAATCTAAATATAATATTATACAAATAACATATAATTGCACTTTGTGATATTATAATATTATTCTTATGTATAGCACTAATTGGTGTAATATATTAATCAATGCAGACATGTAACTACAAGAACTAAGTTTACCTTTTATTTCCAAAGCTTTTCATAGAAATGTACAAATAATTTTACTCTTTTGTAATCTTTATACTTAAAGAATCTTTTTGATTGCTATAATATTTTAAATGAATATTCATATACTTGAAAATTATCTCAAGAATAGTTTGAATAAACACTACACACTTAAAAATCATGTCATGAACATACTTATGACATCATAACATATATTATTGTCACATCAAACATCACAATCACGATACACCCACACAAATGATGAAATAATTTTTTAAATTTTCAAAACATCAATCAAGACATGAAGTTAATCAATTTCACATAAAGATGAGATATTGTAGAGCCAAATCCATTGTGTGACTCCAAGAATATTGATTATTACAATTGCTATTATCCACCATAGTCGTAGTTCTCAAGATTCAACTTTGAATACTTAAACCTTTAAAGAACTTCTTTGAACTCTATGGCTTTGAAACCTAGATGTCCTAAGAGCTCTATGAATACTTATGATACATCTAGTGCAAACAATTGATATAAACTAGTGCGTCTTATTTGAATCTGAATTTTTATCTAAGACGGTAATTACTAAATAAAATGTGACAACACATCTTTATTATATCATTTATAATTATACTCAAGTATCAAATCAATATAAATCATAACAATAATCTCATCATTTGATATATACATATTCATATTCCTTGAGCATAATATTTATTAACACATATGATAATATCAGCAATCAATATTTTTATGTGAATTGATATTGAATCATGTGAGTAAAAATTGTATATGAAAAAATGCTTTCCCAAAATTTTAAAAAGAAAACATGACATATGTCTGCATGTCAAGTGTGTTTAAATGCTATTAAAACAAAATAAAACAAACCTTATTATTATATATATATATATATATATTGATATGCTCCTTACAAAAAAATAAGAGCACAATGTTTTATTATAAATTTTCAAAAACTTTAATTTCAATCAATCAATTAATGATGTTGAATTTAATTTCAATTTTGAATAGTTCACAATTTTTATTAACAATTGCATCTTTGATGAAATAGTACTCCTTTTATTTCGTATAACCTGTCTATTATCAATAAATGTGTAGGATTATTGCAAATTTTCACAGTACAGCCGATCAGGTTGGTGCCTTAAATAGGTATTTTCAAGATCTATTTAATGGTATGCGGTTGTCCATTTATCAAAGCGTTCTGTCAAGTTTTGGGCGTCAAAACTTGACGCCCAAAACATTAGAGGAAAGTGCGTCCAAACCTCTAATGCAGTTGAACGTCCGGCCAACAGTTCGTACTATCCCCACAGCAATATGAGCAGTGTAGAAGGTGACCTTAGGTGCAACCGATCCGTAATAAATGAACATCATCAGGCAGTGTATCAAGCGCGGCTGGTAAGGATAAAAAAAAAGGCGTCTTTTGAAAGGCGCATTTAGTATAGTCGCTGCCAAATTTGATGTCCACTAGAAATCAGTCAGCCGCATTTGGAAACAAACATCTCAATCAACCTTTGAGGTTGCGATAGTATATACCTGTGACGTGTATTGACATAATGATGTCAGTACGCGTCACAAGGGCAGAAAGCCCAAAGCTACTGATATCATGACCATGCTCTCTACGGTTCCACGATATGTACGATGTGGTGCACATTGACAAGAAGTGACTCTACATGACCACAACAAGGAAGTGATTTTATCTAAGCCATGGAAAACATGAACTGATTCGCAACTGCAAGACGAAGAGATTCATTGACAAGGTCATGTTCTTGGTTGCAGTCGCACGCCCAAGATACAATCATCATTAAATTACATTAGTGATTTGGTATCAAAGCTTGATTACGTTAGTGAGTGTGAAATGACAGTGAGTTTGTGAAGATTTTGAATTTATGCCATTCGGTTATTCATGAGATTACTGATCTATGATTTTTCTGTTTGAAAGATTATTCTAGTGACGTTGTGTGACAAATTAATAGTGTGTGCCATGATGATTTATGATTAATTTGACAATTCAAATCATTTGATTGATTAAATTAATTTCACATAACTGACAAGTTTTTATTTTTTATTACTTCAATTGCATGTAGTCATTTTTCTATAGGCACGCAAAAGTTTTCAAAAGATCTAAGTATATCAATGACATTTTGCATTTAATGTATTTTATGAAGATAAATAATTTTAAATTTAAAAAATTAAGTTAAAATTTAATTATCATTTGTTAATATATATATATTAAAATAAGATCTAAAATAATTTTGAATATGTATTATTCAATATAAAATTTTTTTAAAATACACTTGAATATTAATTAAAATTGGCAGCATATGAATCCGGTGGAGGTAACCCGGGTTGTGGAATTTTTAAAAGCGCTTCAGTTAATTAATTAATCTATTCCCAATGGAGGCACTTGTCTGCTAAAAATATTGTGCGCGCGTAGTGCAACATCACAGTGCATAATCCTTTCATGCATTAAAACATGCTCATCAGCGATTGCTCCGAATTTGAACATGCGGATAAGTTTTATTAAACGTTAGCAATGTAAGCATTTTTAACCGAAACAAACCATTTTTGGAAGAGCTACGGCAAAAGTGGCACACTCGGGTTATGGTGAGAAATAGGGTTACCGCCACCGGGTAAATATGATGAATGTAAACATCGTGTGATAGATTAGCTCATGATACGTTCTTCAGGAGAATATCATATTTCTAAAGTTACTAAAGAGCCATGGAAAGAAACTTTTAGTGAGTGTTGAGTCAAGTAAAGTCAAAGGTGATATGAAAAGTGATGTACCACATGATGGAAGAAGATAATTCATGATAACAAACATATCTTGAACAAGCCTAAATATTACATTATTTCAAATGGTTCAAAATTGAGATTTGTAAGTACAATATAATAATATTCAAAAATTTGATCCTCAATTTTTGAATAGTGTTATTGATTCAAATCTTTGTTAACAAAAGCATAGAGTGTAAAACTTACAATTCTGATCAAATTCAAAGTCTTCAGTTTGACCTTGACTTTTATGTCCAAAGAATATAGTCACAATGTTGATTGTATTTGAAAATATTCAAATGCATAAATATTTATGAGAATTCTATCCTTGAGTTTGATTTTTGAAATCATAACTTGTACAGCTTAATAAAATGGTTAACAATTCATAAGAAAGAAACAAATATCTAAACTAGTATGATCTTTGGCCTTGATTACTCGAGTCACAACTCCCACAATTTTCTTGCCACTCATATGACATAAAAACATGTATCTTTAACATATGAGCTGGGTTGTGTTATAGTTTATAACCTCTCAAATGGCTGTGACAAAAACTTCACACATGAAAGCTTCCTTTATCTAGCTCACATCATGAAAAATGATCAAGCACAACAATGACTAAGATCCTACCGTTAACAAATATCTGAATAGTCTCCAGTTCAGTATTCAAATTACAAAGTTGGTAACTCTAATATAGTCAACAAACTTGCTTCAATAACAAAAACTCCAATCTCGGAATAATCACCGAATAAATTTTTATTCATAATCCAAAACCACATCAATAATTCCATTCCGTTCTTTTCATTATCTTGATATCTAGATCTTTCATGCTTCTCAAATTCCAACAACAATTGCAAACTCGCTTTATTTGAAAGACACTATATTCCTCTAGACACAGGAATCACTCATTAGTGGAAAGTGTAACCCATGATAAATTGTTAGGCCTGTCAAATAGATGAGGATGAGCAACATATCTGAGAGTCTTGTGATTTTTAAGCTTATATCGTGAATTTAGATCGGTATGTGTGACTATCAGAAACTATGAATGTCAATGCCGCTAACAAACATCGTCTACATGCCCCTCGATTTACTCCAAAAGTCTTTGATCTTGTCCAATCTAAAATAGGGATTTCTTTCTTTATCTAAGTTGATTGTCTTGCTGATTTACAATCTTTCAAAAACGAATAGATAAGATAATGACAATAATTTAACAAAGAGATTAATATTTGTTGCTTGATGGTTGCAATTCTAGAATGTTGGAGTAAATCCAACAGAATTGTTTCTGTAGGTCTTCCAGTCTTGTTAATCACAATTATGGCATGGTTTTAAAATTTTCTGTGTGAGCAGTTGTGCAAAATGATCATAGACGTTGCAACTCTGAAACATGAAAGTAAATCTACCCTAGTTGATCTTGCAACTTTGCTAGTTTTGCTATTTAGCATTGTAACGAGACTAGTCATTTGAAATTGCAGTGCAAGGAGTTGTACAATATAACCATATTCATTTTCAAACTTTTTTTGTACAAAAGTTAGTTTATTTAACTATGACAAACCAAACTACTCTGGTTTTATGATTGCTGTTTTTTTAATTTAATATAAAAAAAATTACTTGAAAATAATAATAATCTATTATTATGTTCTTCTTTTCAATTTTATGAAATGAACTTCATACTGAAATAGATTTAGTTTGTGTTCATGATTTTTTCAAGATTTGAAAAAATTACATGTAACAACATAATTCTAGCATATTTAACATGAACTAAAATTTAACTCAATAAAAAAAATTCTTAATAAATATCACATGTTTAAAGATAAATTACTAGTTTTTAAAATTTTAAAAGATAGAATCCTAAAACATCTACATTGTGATTTAAATAAAACATTGAATTTAATTAATGCCAATGTCGGCAATTTCAACTACAAAAT